GAGCACGCTTCTTGACCCAATTCTCACGTCTGTTGACATTCAAGTTTGTGAATCGGGCACTCTAACAATAGACGCTTCTATTAGTGACCATAAGGCAACTTATATCTCTCTTTCTTCGAGTATAAATTATAATCGTTCGTACAAGCGTAAAGTGTGGGCCTACAAAAATGCAGACTTTAAAAAACTAAATTCACTAATCGAAAACTGTGATTGGACTAAAATCATCAACAAAGCTGAAACTATAGATATTGCAACTGAAAATTTTACATCGGAATTTCTTTCTTGTGTTCGTGAATGCATTCCTGAACAAACTATTACAATTCGTCCTCGCGACAAACCATGGTTTGACTCATTATTACGTAAAACAATTAGAATCAGAAACCGTCTTCGTAACAAAGCACTTAAAACTAAAAAAGATTCCGATTGGTCCGCATATAGAAAGGTCCGAAATTCAGTTAACAATATGAAAAAGCATGCGATATCAAACTATTATGACAATATAGAAACATATTTGGAAGATTCAAGTAAAAATAATAATAAGTTATATTGGAAGCTGATGAAAGATACATTTAAAGTGAAAGCGATATACCAATATCATTCATACTAAGCTAAGACATTATTGTATACTAAACTATGATTTATATAAACGAAATATTATTAATAGTCCTTCGTGTTCGTGCGGAAAACGCGAAGATGTGTACCATTTCTTTTTTGCATGCAAAAACTATTCCAATGCTAGAAATACTATTTTCAATCGCTTGTTCATGCTTGAATTGGTCACTATTGATTTAAACCTATTACTATGTGGTGATGAAAATTTGCCTTTACAGATAAATAACAGTATTTTTGCTGCTGTTCATAAATTTATTGATGAAACATGTAGATTTTCTTAGTTGATATGTTAAATTTTATTTGTATCATTTGTATTATTTTTCTTTAATTTGCATGACAAACTGTATTATATAAGGAGAGGAACTAGTAAGTTATTTTAGAACTTGTTTCCAATCCTTTTGATTTAATCAATAAAATATGTTCAAAACATTGGTTATATTTCGAACATAAACATGGTAAAGGCACATCAATCTTTTACTGCATAAAATTTAAAAAATTAGATTTTCCAGTTACTTCCCTCCTAATTTTTTGAGGGGGTTACATCCATAAAGTTGTTTTGATTTCTATAGTATCTGCATATTCACAAAATTATTTCTGCGAGGATGCACGTAGTTATTGATGGGTCACATACATAAAGTAGTTTTGATTTCTGCAGTAACTAATGCATGGGCAAAATTATTTGGGGAAGGGGTGCACGCCCCTGGTTCATACGGACACGAGATAAGAGAAATCCCAGTTAAGAAGGGATTGGTTGCTTTGCACACTCCGCCCCTTTTTCATCGCTAAAATTTTACTTAATATTTCTCAATAATCATTTTGATAATTACTTTAAAAAAAATTATGATAAATAAATTTTTACAAATAATGTTTTTCTTTCTTCTACTTTAAGATCGTCCGTATTTCTCACAGTGCATAGATATGATAACTATTTTTTAGCAGGTGTTTTTATCTTTAAATGTTGTTTGTTTTATTTTCAGTTAATGAAAAGCTGATTTCATTTGACATTCAGTAACTAGTAGTAAAAAATAAAAAAGGAGGGGGGGGGGCACACAAGCAGTGTAGTCATGCTTAGTTTTATATTATAGTTTTATTATTCTACCATTTAATAAACAAAAAGGGGACTGGGGGCTGGGGCCTTCAGAATAGGGAATTTCAGCGTCAATTACACAGGCACTTGTTTCGTATACGGGGCACCCCTACTTATTTTTACCACAAGGTACCTAACTCAATTTCAGACACCCCCGCTTCAAGCCCGTATTCTGTTTATATATCAATCATTAACCTACTTTAAAATGACATCGCTTCGAAGGACTTTTTTCTTGTCAAATTAATCGTTTCGGACGTCTCTGGTCGAGCCTCTTTATTGTAAACCACTCATTTCTTCCTCGAAAATAACCTCAATACAGAATAAGACTTCGAATGGAATACAAAAACTTCCTGTCGGGGTTATAAATGTAGGATAAATCCAGAGACTTTCGAGTATTCCTTTCCGAGGTCTCTGGTTTAATCCTTCATTTATAACCTAACCGGAAGTCTATGTATCCCTACGAAAGCCTATTAGGATCGGTTAAAAAAAAAAATTAAAGGTGTTATAACCTTTTAAAGGCGTTATAACGCGAAAAAAGGCGTAATAACGCCTTTTGAAAAGGCGTTATAACGCGGAAAAAGGCGTAATAACGCAAATAAAGGCGTAATAACGGCTTTCCAAAAGGCGTTATAACGCGAAAAAAGGCGTTATTACGCCTTTCCAAAAGGCGCTATTACGCCTTTTAAAAAGGCGTTCTTACGCCTTTCCAAAAGGCGTTCTTACGCCTTTTAAAAAGGCGTTATTACGCCTTTCCAAAAGGCGTTATAACAAGAAAAAAGGCGTTATTACGCCTTTTAAAAAGGCGTTATTACGTCTTTCCAAAAGGCGTTATAACGCCTTTTAAAAAGGCGTTCTTACGCCTTTTAAAAAGGCGTTGTTACGCCTTTCCAAAAGGGGTTATTACGCTTTTTAAAAAGGCGTTATTACGCCTTTTAAAATGGCGTTATTACGCCTTTCCATAAGGCGTTATTACGCCTTTTAAAAAGGCATACATTTTGCCTTCAATAAACTATTGTCTTACGGTTTGGGGTAATGCATCTAAAACTAACATTGAAAGAGTCCTTAAACTTCAGAAACAGGCTGCTAGAATTATTCTTGATGCAGCACCTGACGAACCATCAAAACCATTGTTTGAAAAACTGGGATGGCTAAATGTGTTTGAATTAGTCACGTTACATAAGTGTATTTTATTGTACAAAACTTTTTATGGTATGAGCCCTGAATACCTCCAGGACCTTTTTGTTTTTCATAGCCATGATTCATATTCCCTGCGTTCAGAATTAAATTATAATCTTCGTTTACCAAAACATCGAACAATTCTATTTACAAATTCGATTCAATATTCAGGTGTACATTTATGGAATAACCTACCATTAAATGTAAAATTGTCACCATCTTTACATATTTTTAGAAGAAATGTGGAAAAAATTATTATTAGCCAACGTCTGTAAATATATGTTTGTATATTTCCTTTGTACATGTTGTATGATTATTACTATTGTTTTTAAACTATGTCTCTTGAACTATAAATATTGACTTATTTATTTTGAGCCTATATTTCATTAAGTTGAATATTACATTTAATTATTCATGAGTTAATGAACTTATCATTACATGTTTTATCTTTGATTGTATCATTTTATGTAATATGTTGTTTGTTATTTAGAAGGCTCCGGGGAAGAACAGTACCTTGTACTAATCGGGTTACCTTCTCTAAATAAAGCATTATTATTATTAGTAGTAGTATTATTACGCCTTTCCAAAAGGCGTTATTACGCGAAAAAAAGGCGTTATTACGCGAAAAAAGGCGTTATTACGCCTTTCTAAAAGGCGTTATTACGCCTTCTAAAAAGGCGTTATTACGCCTTTTTAAAAGGCATTAATACGCCTTTCAAAAAGGCGTTATTATGCCTTTTGAAGGGCCATTATTATGTCTTTGACAGGCCCGTGCTTTTAAAGTTGGGGGGGGGGTGTCCCATAAAATTGACAAGCAAACAAAAAAACAAGAAACACCCCCCCTCCCAAATAAACTGCCTAAAGGGGAATCTTTTTCTAACTTATCGGTGAAACTTTTTTTAAATGCAATGACTTGCCCGAGTTTAACCATACTGCAACAAAATGTTAAGGGACCAAGCAATCAATAAATGATTTTTTTTATATTTAAACTATAGCAAGACTATTCTCCCAAAAGGTGGTGTGCCCCCCCCCCCCCCATTCGTACTACAGGCCTGTTTGTTCGAAAAGGAGTTATATCCAAAAATGGAAAGGCGTTATTTTAAAATAATAAACATATAACAGATTGAACCAAAGCCACCTTTATTTATGCAATATTTAGATTATAGTTTTAATATTATAAATTATATTATAAATCATAGTATTTTCTATATTCCTCAGATCTCGCAGACAGCTGTTTGCATGCGTATTAAGAGAAGTCAACACTCTACTTTTGAAAATCCAGGATATACGGAGAGCCAGCTTTGGGCTTTGCTAGCCATGTATTAAAAATTCATGTCAAATTTGAAATATTTTTCTCTGCTTTTGAAAAAAAAAAACAGGCAAACTATTTGCATATAGGTATAATGAGCAATTAGCCTTCAACCAAATTTCTGAAATCCATGCACCTTGGTAGAGTTGTCTGGCATCAGAGAAGGACTAAGTTGGTTTAACACTGAAAATATTTTACACATTTAAAAGACTTTTTTTCTTGGAAATCTAATTATAATCAGCCCCCAAGGTCGGCTAAGTAAGTCATGTATTGAAACATAAGAGGCGTAATAACGCCTTTTGGAAAGGCGTAATAACGCCTTTTGGAAAGGCGTATTAACGCCTTTTAGAAAGGCGTAATAACGCCTTTTGGAAAGGCGTAATAACGCCTTTTGAAAAGGCGTAATAACGCTTTCTGGAAAGGCGTAATAACGCCTTTTGAAAAGGCGTAATTACGCCTTTTTTCGCGTTATAACGCCTTTTGAAAAGGCTTTATAACGCCTTTTATTTATTTTTTTTTTTTTTACCGTAGTTTGATCCTAATAGGCTTTCGTATATCCCATTCAAAGTCTTATTTTGTATCGAGATAATTTTCGAAACAAGTGCCTGTGGTCAATTAGGCTAAATTAAGAATCTCCCAGAAAACCCAGTCACTTAAAAAGCATTGTCTTTGTATTACTTTAACAAAATATTGTTATAACAAATCAAGACTATTCTTGGTATGGATTATCTAATTACTTGCATCAAGAATAATAGTGGTATGAATTATCTAATTTTAAAGAAAATCCAACATGGCTGAACAACAAAACCTGCTTGAACTTGGTTGAACTTCACTGAAAAAACAAGCAATAAACAAACTGAATTTGATCACATATTTTGTAAGTTTTTCTTTGGGAAAACTTCCACTACATTTTGGGAAAATACAGGCATATTTTCAATTGGGACTGGGGCCGAATACCGACCCTAAAAAAATCACTGTTGTATACACTGCATTATCTTTTCTATTTTACATGGTTAGGTTGCTTTCTCAAATATCCACATTAACTTAATTTATCTGTTTTAGGTAATCTGCTTCCTTAATTATCCATATGGACCCGTGGTTCAGTGACCAGGATGTCCTACTCTGTGACCTGTGTGAGACACCTGTTCCTCCAATGTATTGTGACTTTTGTCATATCAAACTCTGTAAAGCCTGTGTAGGGGAGCATCTCTCTGATTTATCTAAAGAACATAAAGTGGTGCCATACAAACAAAAGGGAACTACACCTAAATATCCCAGATGTCAGACCCATGTTGGAAAACTGTGTGAACTTCACTGTAAGGAATGTGACCTTCCTGTTTGTTTGCTCTGTCTTGCATCCAATTTTCACAAAGGACATAATTTATTGAATTTACTTGAGGTAAATTTATCCAATCAAGAGGCTGTAGAAAAAGATCTTGATGAATTATTAAATTCAATAAGCCCTAAATATGAAGAAATTTCAGCAGAGATACAGAGAGAAAAAACAGGCCTGGAAAAACATTACGAGAAACTGACAACAGTTGTCATCAAACAAGGAGAAGACTGGCACAGAGAAATTAACATCATTGTCAACAAACAAAAATTTGAAATTGATGAGATGAAAACTAAACACCTGGCTGCTCTAAATAAACAGGAAAAAGAAATCACTGGTATAATCTCAGAAGTGAAACAGTGTATTCTTGATCTGAAGAGAATACTGGACTCCAATTGTGTCTCCCTTACCTCTGCATACAAATCCAGGAATGTTGAATTCAGATGTTTTCCTCCTAAAGTCTCATTACCAAGTTTCTCTCCTCATCAGATCAACACAGAACAGCTCCATCAAATGTTTGGTTCTCTGTCAGCATTATCCATTACGACAGACGAACATGGCTACACAATGAAGACACCAGAAGCTGAATACTGTCCTCCAGTCAAACCACTGCTTGATGAACCAGAGCTCATCACCACCATAGACACTGGGTATAAATATCTATACAGTGTTACCTGTCTCAGTGATGAAGAAATCTGGACATGTGGATTAGACAAAATCATGAAACTCTACAACCTCCAGGGCAAACTACTGAAGTCAATCCAAACCAAGTCTGGGAACACACCACGTGATATAGAAGTGACAAGGAGTGGATATCTAATTTATACTGACCCTAATACAAGGACTGTAGACATAGTGAAGAATAGGCAGATACAGGAAGTGATCAGACTACAGGGGTGGACACCTCACTATGTCTGTAGTATCTCCTATGGTGACTTTCTGGTTACCATGGTCAGTGATGATGATAAACAATCAAAAGTTGTCCGTTACTCTGGCTCCACAGAAACACAAACCATTCAGTTTGATACTGAAGGTAAACCTCTGTATTCATCTCACTACCTTAAATACATCAGTGAGAACAGGAACCTGGATATCTGTGTAGCTGACAATGGAGCTGGTGCAGTAGTGGTGGTTAATCAGGCAGGAAGACTCCGATTTAGATACACTGGTCATCCCTCTAATAACAAGGGATCATTCTTTCCACTTGGCATCACAACAGACAGCCAGAGTCAGATCCTGACAGCAGACTGTGAATATCACTGTATCCACATCCTAGATCAGGATGGACAGTTCCTCCGTTACATTGATAACTGTAACTGTGACCTACAGTTTCCATGGGGTTTATGTGTAGACACCAGAGACAACATCTTTGTGGTCGAGTTGAACAGTGGTAAAGTGAAGAAAATCAAATACAATCATGTAAACAGTGACATACAGTCGTTTGACCAGTTCTGAATTTTGATCAGTTCCGAATAATTAATAATTTAAGAGCTGATAATTAATAAATTCAAAAGTGTAAACATAAATTCATACATATGGTATGAAGGCTTATCTATGAGTGTTAGAATTATGTGAAGTTTTGATTTTTTGCTGTCAGTTTGTGTCCGCTATCATACTTGAAACAGGTGACATACTTTTACAATTCAACAAATCTGAATCACCGCGACACGTTTGTCTGCAGAAAAACGTCTGTAAAGACATCAATTTTTCACATAAAATAACATTTCAACTATCAAAAGTAAGTTTCATTTGTATTTTAAAAAATACCAAAAGCTTGCCGAAAATAAATAATTATACATGTACCACCGGAAGATATTGGAATATTTTCGTGTTCTCATTTTACTAGTTCCGATTACCCATTATATTTACATTTGCGAATGTTTTCTTTATATAACACTATTGAAAGCAACGTATATCTATATCCATATAAACACGGGTTCCTCGTGTCATAAACGTTCGACGTAATTTCTCAGTGATGTCATAAAAGGTCGACGTGCAATCAATGGATCAAATACATGCCGTTGAGTTTGAAAAATAAAACATTTCTTGCGTTGAAGATTGTAATCAGATAAATATAAAATATGAATAAGTCCTAAATGTAAATATATAAGTAATAATGTATCATTTTTAAACGTCTGTTTTGATATAAATATGGGTTGGTACGAGATCAAATTTACCATAAAGCCCTTCCGGCTTTATGGAATTTGAATCTTGTGACCCACCCGTATTTATATCCCCATAGATGTTTAAAAATGATACATTATTTCTTAAATAAACACTACATATTGTATGTAATAGATTAGTTTTCTGTTATTTCTTCATTGTAAAACTGACTGTCATTTCTCTTTATCCTTTGGAAATACCATTTACTTACTGGTAAGCATTTATTTTAACTTTTCCTTAGGCATTTCAATTGATAATGTGTGAGACGGATATTTTTAATATAGGGTCGAATTGCATGGGACCGCTAGGATATTAGGAACTCGTCGGCTTATTCTTAACTAGTAAAATGAGTACCCATGTTCATGATGTTAACTTGCTAAAATAAAAAGTTTTTTTTGAAAGGCTGAAATTTTATGAAACAACATTTAATTCCGCAAGTCATTGAACTAATTTGACAAACAAATTAGATTTTGAAATAACGGTCCTACTAAACAGAGTACAATAAAGTATTTTAGAATACGCTGGTAAAATAATAGAATTCAATGTACTTAAACAGCTTTTTGTATGTTTTTTAGCTCACCTGAGCCCAAGGCTCAAGTGAGCTTTTCTGATCACATTTTGTCTGTAGTCCGTCTGTCTGTCCATCTGTAAACTTTTCACATTTTCGACTTCTCCAGAACCACTGGGCCAATTTCAACCAAACTTGCCACAAAGTATCCTTGGGTAAAGGGGATTCAATTTTGTTCAAATGAAGGGCCACGCCTTCTTCCAAGGGGAGATAATTAAGAATTCGTGAAAAATTAATGGCATCATTAAAAAATCTTCTTCTCAAGAACCACTGTGCTTGAAAATATGAAACTTATGTGGAAGCATCCTCAGGTAGTGTAGATTCAAGTTTGTTCAAATCATGACCCCTGGCGGTCAGGTGGGGCCACAATGGGCGATCAAAGTTTTACATAGGAATATATAGGAAAAATCTTTAAAAATCTTCTTCTCAAGAACAGCAAAGCCATGATTGGTCATATTTATATGGTAGCATCCTCAGATAGTGTAGATTCAAGTTTGTTCAAATCATGACCCCCGGGGGTCGGGTGGGGCCACAACAGGCAATCAAAGTTTTAAATAGGAATATATAGGAAAAATCTTTAAAAATCTTCTTCTCAAGAACAGCAAAGCCATGATTGGTCATATTTACATGGTAGCATCCTCAGGTAGTGTAGATTCAAGTTTGTTCAAATCATGACCCCCGGGGGTCGGGTGGGGCCACAATGGGCGATCAAAGTTTTACATAGGAATATATAGGAAAAATCTTTAAAAATCTTCTTCTCAAGAACAGCAAAGCCATGATTGGTCATATTTATATGGTAGCATCCTCAGATAATGTAGATTCAAGTTTGTTCAAATTATGACCCCCGGGGGTCGGATGGGGCCACAATGGGCGATCAAAGTTTTACATAGGAATATATAGGAAAAATCTTTAAAAATCTTCTTCTCAAGAACAGCAAAGCCATGATTGGTCATATTTACATGGTAGCATCCTCAGGTAGTGTAGATTCAAGTTTGTTCAAATCATGACCCCTGGGGGTCAGGTGGGGCCACAATGGGCGATCAAAGTTTTACATAGGAAATATAGGAAAAATCTTTAAAAATCTTCTTCTCAAGAACAGCAAAGCCGTGATTGGTCATATTTACATGGTAGCATCCTCAGATAATGTAGATTCAAGTTTGTTCAAATCATGACCCCCGGGGGTCGGATGGGGCCACAATGGGCGATCAAAGTTTTACATAGGAATATATAGGAACAAGAGGCCCATGGGCCACAACGCTCACCTGAATAACTTTGGCCCTGCTGCTCTTCACCAGACGATCTTTTTGTAATACCTATTGTGACCCCGCCCTACCCATGGGGGTCATGATTCTAACAATTTGGAATCTACACTACCCCAGGATGTTTCCATATAAGTTTCAGCTTTACTGGCCAAGAGGTTCTTGAGGAGAAAATTTTTGAAGATTTTTCCTATATATTTCAATGTAAAACTTGGATTCCCTTTTGTGGCCCCGCCCTACCCCCAGGGGTCAAGATTTGAATAGTTTAGAAGTTACACTGCCTCAGGATGCTTCTACAAAAGTCTTAGCATTCCTGACCAAGTGGTTCTTGAGAAGAAGATTTTTTTTCTATATATTTCAATATAAAAATTGGATTCCCTATTGTGGCCCCGCCCTTCCCCCGGGGGTCATGATTTTAACAATTTAGAATCTACACTACCCAAGGATGCTTCCACATAAGTTTCAGCTTTTCTGGCCAAATGGTTCTTGAGAAGAAGATTTTTAAATATTTTTTCTATGTATTTCAATGTAAAACTTGGATTCCCTATTGTGGCCCCACCCTTCCCCCAGGGGTCATGATTTTAACAATTTAGAATCTACACTACCCTAGCATGCTTCCACGTAAGTTTCAGCTTTTCTGGCCAAATGGTTCTTGAGAAGAAGATTTTTAAAGATTTTTTCTATATATTTCAATGTAAAACTTGGATTCCCTATTGTGGCCCTGCCCTTCCCCCGGGGGTCATGATTTTAACAATTTAGAATCTACACTACCCCAGCATGTTTCCACATAAGTTTCAGCTTTTCTGGCCCAGTGGTTCTTGAGAAGAAGATTTTTTAAAAAAATTTCTATGTATTTCAATGTAAAACTTGGATTCCCTATTGTGGCCCCGCCCTTCTCCCGGGGGTCATGATTTTAACAATTTAGAATCTACACTACCCCAGCATGCTTCCACATAATTTTCAGCTTTTCTGGCCCAGTGGTTCTTGAGAAGAAGATTTTTTAATGACCCCACCCTATTTTTGTCTTCTCTTGATTATCTCCCCTTGTGAGGGGACTTGGCCCTTCATTTTAACAATTTAAATTCCCCTTTACCCAAGGATGCTTTGTACCAAGTTTGGTCAAAATTGGCCCAGTGGTTCTTGAGAAGAAGTCAAAAATGTGAAAAGTTTACAGACGGACAGACAGACAGACGGACAGACAGACGGACAGACGGACGGACGGACGACGGACAAAATGTGATCAGAAAAGCTCACTTGAGCCTTCGGCTCAGGTGAGCTAAAAATCTTTAAAAATCTTCTTCTCAAGAACAGCAAAGCCATGATTGGTCATATTTACATGGTAGCGTCCTCAGGTAGTGTAGATTCAAGTTTGTTCAAATCATGACCCCTGGGGGTCAGGTGGGGCCACAATGGGTGATCAAAGTTTTACATAGGAATATATAGGAAAAATCTTTAAAAATCTTCTTCTCAAGAACAGCAAAGCCATGATTGGTCATATTTAAATGGAAGCATCCTCAGATAATGTAGATTCAAATTTGTTCAATTTATAACCCCCCCCCCCAAACCACTTTTATATTTACAATTTTTTCCACCTTTCAAGACTGAACTGATTTCTGCTTTTTCCTAGCCATAGTGCTCAGGTGAGCGATGTGGCCCCTGGGCCTCTTGTTTTTTTGTTTTTTTTTTACTTAAGTTTAACAAAATAAATATATATCTTGAAGCATTTTTCTCCATTTCCACAAAAAAAAAGTCTAATAAAAACTTTTCACACCTTTTATTATCTATAAGTTTAGAAGTTTTAACACGGATTGTTTGTAAGCATTAAGTGTGTCTGTGTTATCTCCCTTGTCTTTCAAGTCAGAGTAAGCAGTTTTATAATCCTGGATAGCAGAATCATCCTCCACCACAGAAACACCTGGATCCTCTCCCATTTCCTTCTGGCCACTATCAATCTGCAAAAAAATTAAGATGCATGTTTAAATTTGAGAATTTCAGAAAAATACTGAAATCAGCAAAATTCAACAGCATGTGTCTGTGAAACACTGATGCCCCTGTATGTTAGCTCAAAGCCAAGGCTTTTTTTCAAATGTAGGTCAAACTCCAAGGTCTAGAGATCCAAAATGTTGGACTTGTCTCAAGGAATACACATGATGTATGAAAGTCTTAGCCCACATTGTTCAAAAGTTGTGGCCAAGGATAATAAAATTTTTCAAAAGTAGGTTAACCTCTTAGGTCAAGGTTGAAAGGTAAAAAATGCTGCTACTCAAAGAAAGGCCTGGAAACATGTATGATGAAATACCCATGTGAAATATAAAAGCCCTAGCTTCAACCATTAGAAGTTACGGCCAAGGTTAAAGTTTGGTAAAGGAGATGGGCGAACATAGTGTGCAGAAAGCCTATAGCTTCAGATATATATAAATCATGTTCAGTTTGTGAATTTTGACAATTATTATTGTCTCATTATTGAAATTCATGAAATTATGATAAACAAAACTTTTCTGAGGACAATTTTTTCAGCAAAATTTATTCTTTTATTAAAAAAAAATTAATGTGGTATTCGTGGAGTTCGAACCCTAGCAATAAAAATCCTGAGTATCATTTTCTTTCGAGACTAGCACGCTAACCACTAGACTACACAAGTCCTGATGAAGATTGGCATTTAAATCATGTTTGTGATATGACCCTTGACATAATGGACTTCAAGTATTTCTCGAAAAGATATGAATGTTATGTCATAAAAGTATATTTTTAAGGTAAAGTGGGTCATTGCTCCATATTTTTGGTAACCAAAAAATGTATATTTTTATGCAAACTTTGAGGATTAACTTTCAAAAAGGTGGAGCGAAGACCCACTCATATCAAAAAATAGTGTTATACATGTAGTATGAGAAAATGACTCTTTTTTGCTTGCTTTGGTGTGTGTCTAATATTTCACAGGCAATTAATTTCACTCTTTGAGGGATTTCTGCAAATCGTAGAGATTTTACATAAAGTATATTTTAATGTTAGACGAAATATCAAGGAAAATTTTGATATAATTGAAATTTAATTTTTCGTCTTCATGTTTGTCACACTATAGGCTTATCACTCGTCATGTTCACCCATCTCCTTTATGCAAAAGTAGTTCAAACTCCAAGGTCTAGGTTAAGAGGTCAAATATTTTGGTACCCCACAGAAAGGTCTTGTCACAAGAAATACATACATGTACTACGAAAGCCCTTGTTCCAACCATTCAAAAGTTATGGGCAAATTTAAAGCATACATGTGATATGTACCGTCTGTACACAAAATGTCACATTTTTTTTACCCCATTCACAGGCTCACGGCGGTACATCAAAATTCACAGGAAATGAAAATTTGGTCTGTATTTTGAATTGTTTACCAGAAACCGCCATTTTTCTTTAATTCTCGCTCTCATAACACCAGAAATCTCGTTTGATGCGCGATTTACAGTGCTTGGTTAATGTAAACAGAACTTCATCATCGTCAGTATGAAACATTCCCAGGATAATTACATTGTAATTAAAACGTATCAAAGATTTTTGTTAGGCAGAATATTCTTCCATAAGACCCTTATTAAGGTTTTTTTTTTAACTGTAATTAGTCAAAATTTTGACAGTTTTTTTTAAAGACGTTTCAAAGAGAAAACGACAATACACAGAGCAAGTGTGTGACAGCAACACAAAATTTAATCCATTTGGTTCACTTGTTGGTTAATTTTAAAATTTATTAATAAAAAATGAACCTCTTACATTGATTTTTGGTCGATATTTTGTACAGTTTTTGTACAGTTTTTTGATGAACAGTGTACAGTATTTTCACCCAAATTCCAGTATTTTGAAGACTCGTGGACAGTATTTGGGTCTAAAATTATCACATGTATGTTAAAGGTTTAGCAGACAATCAAATTAACAGATAGACATATGAATGAACAGACAAAGAACTACAGTATTTGTCCCTGATTTATCAATTAAGTAGACATATTAATAATTTTTTTTTTAAAAATCAAGATTTGTTAATTTACCTGTTTGTTATGTGTGGGGTTTCATATTGTACTTTTAAGTTGGTGGATCTAGTATTTTGAATGTTTCTTTTGTTTTCTAAGTGGGGATCTAACATTTCTCTTGTCAGTTGGAGGATCTAATACAGTGCTACCTCGGTATATTGCCCTCCGTTATATTGCCACCCCCGCTTACTGCCTGGAATTCTCCAAGAACGGATTTCCCTCTGTGTTAATACACCCGTTATATTGCCACCCCCGCTTATTGCCATCCGCCACTAGTTTAGGGAAACAAAAGGTCAAATTATATAAGGAAAACCCTCGGTAACAATGCCAATTATCTAGCGCGCGTCGGTAATTTGGACGTCACACCCGTGCTTTGACAGTGGTTGCGGTGAAGCGTGACTGGCTGAACAAGGAGTTCAGCTAAATTAAAGATAATCGTTTTATAAAACTCAAAATTAGCAATTTCTTTTGTGTTGTTTTCATAAGATAGAAGTATTATTTCATCACAATAATGGGAAAGTCAGGGAAGAGAAAGCGTACAAATTTAGATTACAAACGAAAATTTAAAATAAACCCAAACAAATAATTGTACATTTTATTTCACTGTAAATCGCCGATTGTTGCTTTCACCGAACCAGGCCATAATAAATGAAAAAATCCTTTTATTCCCCATAGATCAAAAAACCAAATTCTAAATTCTAAAGAAAACCCATCTCTATTTTTAGACTACTATAATTCCGCACGTGAAAATAGCATGGGATTCCGTTACCCCTGAAACAGTCATCAATTGTTGGACACATAATGGATTGATTGATGAATATCAAAACAGATTAAGAAGAGAAAGTACTCAGGTACTAGCAAACATGAGAATACGTGTATATTACAACAGATTCATGAAGATCTAGACAGTACCCTGGCACGTGATTTTCCATTCTTTTTTAACTGATCTAGTATTATTGAGATGGTGAAATAATCTACTTCCGATTCAGATGATACTGACGATAAACGTCAAAAACTTTTGTATAGCGAGAGACTATAACTGCTTTTGACACCGTTATCATCGGGTTGTTAAATTCTTCGACCCAGGATCAACAGAAGAGCGAAAGAGCGGGAAATTGAAAAATGTCGTAATATTGTGACATTTTCATTTCATTTTAAAAACAAATACATTAATGACTTTTTCCGGAAGAAATGAAAGTTGCGCTTGAGTGTATATGTATGTACACACGCTCAAAAGCATGACATTTGATTTTAACTAAAATAAACTACGTATTCATCTCGAACTGGGCTCATTGCATTGTAATTTATGACAGAACTCGTTATATTGCCACCCTCGCTTTAATGCCAAAATCTGTCTTGGACAAAAGTTGGCAATATACCGAGGGAGCACTGTATTTTACCTGCTGTATTTTATTCTTTAGTCGGAGGATCTTATTTCTGGACTGTGTTTTGTCCCATTGATATTCCACCCAATCAGACTCCTCCATATCTTCCTCCCAGGGTTCTGTTACCTACAAAAGAAAACATTATACTTACTGGTTAATTAATATTACATAGGCCTAAAAAACATTACAAATCAGCTCATTTCAAAGTATTTCAGAAAAGATGAGAAACTACCATAGTCTTTTGTTGAATTTAAAACTAAGAAGTTGTAGTTTTGCTGAAAAGAAAATTTTATTGCATATTTTCATTTATGTATCCCCAAATCAATATCTAAACATTCCAACTGAGACCCAGACTGATCACATTAAAGGCATATTGTGACATTTTTATCAAAATTTGCATCTATACTCCTCTCGAAAAAGTTTCAATAGACTTTTTGTTGACATATTGCTGAGAGATTCTCTGATCTCTACTGTAGTAATACCCAGAGAAAACAACGTAATATGACCAAAAAAAGAGTCCGAACATCATGATAAATTGTTATACTTTCATGTAAATTAGTTGAACCTGATTTGTCCAGAAACATTTGTTAAAAAACACTATTACCAGCTGAATAATGAAGTCAAGCCCTCCAGCAGAGCAACAGTTGACATTGCTTGAGATGGTTAATATTCCAAAAAATATTGAAAACATTCAGTATAATATAATAAATACTGCATGTAGTTGAGTGTAACATTGGAAATTTTCACCCCTCGAAACATTGTCAACCTCTGTTGTGCCTCATTTGACACTGTTTTTCTTGGGGTGAAAATTTTCAATGTTATACTCAACTACATGCAGTACATATATTTATATAATAGTTTTTTTTTTCCTTATATAACTGGTACCGATAAACGGTACCATTTCCAATGCCAAAAAACGTTAATTTTTCCCAATTTTGAGACTAAAAATTCCCAATTCAACTGCCAAGCAACAGACTACAATGACATTGTATTTCTTTTTATATGAAACATTGTACAAGTTGACTAATTGTTTCAATTCCGCTTAAATCGAAAGTAGAGATAAGTCGTAATATGGCAGGACCTGTGGTGTAGACAGCATAATGTCATACATTTTGACAAATTGAAAGCATGAAAATGCGAAAACAAGGGACATTGATATGAAAAACAATAAATACTTGTTTATTCTTTTAAACACGGAGTAATAAGTAATGAGGTTGGAACAGACGCAAAATATGTTTCATTTGTTTTAATGACAGAAAATTTTCCTTTGCTCAACTATGCTATTTTTCCCAATTGAATCGGTACAGGACCCTTTCCCAATGGGTAGAAAAAAATCGCTGTATAATGACATTCTTACTTTTCTCTGTACTTACATTTGACTCATAATACAATGCTGTCAGTGTATAGATGTTAAAGTCATAGTTTTGTTTCCGGAGTGGACACCTAAAAAACAAAGAGGCATTGGTCATTTACAGCTCTACATGTATATCCAGTCACTGTCAAGAAGAGTTAAGTACTTGTTCAACAAAACATGAAATACTGTTATAAAAAATAAGATGTGGAAATATTGAAATTACATATCTAACAAGTAATGACTAGAACAAATGTCAATGAGACATTTTTACTTCTATGTAAAAACTTCATTTCAGCCAAGGAGTTGAAGAAAAATGTTTTGTAGATTGATAACCTAGAATAAACTTTGTATTTTAGATATTTTTAAACACATCATTATAGTATTTTTAGACTTGAAGAGCTTTATCTAACAAATATTAAGTAGTCACAAAAAACATTCTAAACACTAAACATGTAAATATCTGACCCACTTGCCTGTCAGACTTCAGTTGTAATGTCTGATCCTCTTGATCAAATTTGTCTCCAGCCAACTTTTTCATTTTTATTGATGTATGTTCATCCATTTTCAGAACAGATAAATTAACCTGTTAAATTTAAAGAAAAAAAATGAAAGAAAAAGAAAGTGGTAAAATTCACAGCTAGAATCATTTAGTTCACATGTATAAGTTTCAATTTTCCTTAAAAATACATGTATTTGTAGCCTGTGAATTAAGCAAACAGAAATTTGTTTTGTTCTTTTTTTCATTCTTAAGCAGAACAAAAAGCCCATGGGCCACAATGCTCTCCTTAGTCACAATTTTGTAAAATTGTTTTCTCCCATTCTTGTCCCACCCTAACCCTGAAGGTCACCATTTGAACAAATTTGAATCTACATTATCTGAAGATGCTTCCATATAAATATGACTGATCATGGCTTTGATATTCTTGATAAGAAGGTTTTTAATTTTCTTTTTTATATATTACTAAAAAAGAATTTGATTACCCATTGTGGCCCCACCCTACCCCCATGTGTTTTGCTAAGCACAAAATTCAGTCTACACTACCTGAGGATGCTTCAATATAAATATGGGTGATCATAGCTTTGCTGTTCTTTAGAAAAAGATTTTTAAAGATTTTTTTTGTAATATTCCTATGTAAAACTGTAATCAGCTATTGTGGCTCCACCCTATCCCTAGGGGTCATGATTTGAACAAACATAAATCTACACTACCTGGAGATGATTTCATACAAATAAGACTAATCATGGCTTTGTTGTTCTTGAGAAAAAGATTTTCAAAGAGATTTTTCTTTATATTCCTATTTAAAACTTTGATCACCTATTGTTGCCCCATCCAACCCCCAGGAGTTCATGAATCGAATATCACCAGGTTCACAGGTGTGTAGGAATCAGTCAATATATCAGGTCTCCATAGCTCAATGGTTAGCGCACTGAAACTGTATGCCAGAGGCCATGGAATCCAGTCCCGGTTGAGACTTGACATTTCACCATCTGTGACAATTAATTGGCGTCAAACATACAGATACCCACTATTCCCTAGGAAGATACCCCACAGCATGTCCTTAACTCATACAATTTGAGGAAGAATCTCCACAAAGACGAGGAATATGTCACCTGGGTCACAGGTATGCGAGAGTCAGTCAATATATCGGGTCTCAATATTTCAGTGGTTAGATTGCTGGCACTGTATGCCAGATGTCCTGGGTTTGAGCCCAGGTTGTGATCTGACTTTTCACCACCTGTGACATGAACAAACTTGAATCTACACTATGAAATGAAGCTTTCACATAAGTGTCATTTTTTTTGGCCCATTAGTTCTCTAGAAGAAGATTTTAAAAAGATGCTATTAAATTTTCACTAATTCTTGATTATCTCTCCTTGAATGAGAGTGTTCCTCTTCATTTGAATCCCTCTCACCCATGCATACTCTGTGCCAAGTTTGGTTGGAATTGGTGTGGTGGTTCTGAAGAAGGAGATGAAATCGTGAAAAGTTTATGCCAACATCAACAACGACAGACAACTGACACATTTTGATCAGAAAAGCTCACTTCACCCTTCAGCTTAGGTGAGCTAAAAAGATGGTATAAATTAATTTCTGGTGTTGATTCAAAGTAAGTATTGTGACTGAAGTCTAAATGGGACATAAAAATTGGACAACAAACCTCTTCTTGTACAAAAATGTAGAGGATCAAATTGAATAACATAAATATTTTCATTGAAGTGCTATAATTTTTCAGCTCAATACTTTTCGGAGCTTAATTCTTAAGTAATAGATATAAGTCAAACAATTTTCATCAACCCACTTTTTATCACAGGGATAAATAATGAGTAAACTTACATTGACTGTGACCTCCCGTGACCTTGAATCTCTTATTGATGTCCCACAGGTCACATAATCAGAGGTCACGACCTCAATGGGAAAATTGACCTTTCGGACCTCTTGATTCTTCAGTTCCTCTGGAAACTTTGTACAAAATTCTGAAAAAATCAACAGAGTCTGACATTCTATCACTGAAATACCAAGAAAGAAAAATACATTTAAGTTTGAATAAACATCCAATATTTTTTTTATCATTTGCATTTAATAATAACTAATATCATTGTGCGTATTTTTCAGTTAACTGGATTCAGGACTTTGATGGCAGAATGTTTAGATATGATATCTTTCTTCTTTAATGTTTTATAACAAAAAAGATTTTGCAAGCCTCTACTATGCCCACTCTTACGTCTTTGTCTTAAGCAAAATGAATCACACTGCCTTCAGCAAAGGCAATTACAGATTAAAAATCATATGTTTTATCATTCATCAAAACAAGTACACTTTAAAATATTTAATAACCTATTACATGTACATTAAATATGTACCAGTGTAGGCAAAACGGAAGATAACTCTAACTACAGATATCTGCAGCATATAACCACCCCTGGTTAAAACCTACTTTTAATGGCCTGGCAGTGCTTTTTAATGTGGGGAGGTGTCAGATGTAGAAAATTTGGGATTTTCATCAATTCTGTGTTGCCATATTTTCCTGGAGTAAGACGGTTTTCCCTCTACAAAGTTAATACAGTCAGGTACAAGAATGGATGAAAGATTATCCAATTTCAAAAGAAATTTTGTTTATAAATTGATAGAAATGTACATGTTAAATAAATGTCAATTGTTGAATAAAGTAAGCAATTTACCTGATGCAACTTACATGGAAAATATATTGGTATAAAAATATTTTTAAACTTTATGAAATCCTTTTCACACTTTAGAAAATATTGACTTTTTATCAGCATTTATTCTAGAAAACTTATTCAATTTTCATGCATGTAACTAAGAAATATTACTTCTGACAGCTAAAATTAAATATACAATGACAAAATCAGAAGAGCATTAAACATTTCTTTGGCTGACAAAGATTTTCTCAAGAGGCCTCTACCTTTCTATAACCCTGTCTGACTGGTATAGGAACAGAACCATAACGGAATGGCGCCTTTGTTGGCCAAACATCCGTCCAATCCTGATCAGTATGCATACAATCTGCTCGGGTAATGTTACGTTTCTTCTCTACTTCCTTCTATTAATTTTTTAATAATGAAAAAAAAAATACATGAAAAAATATTGAAAATCAAAGTAGATGAACTTTATTGATTTCTTTTTACTTGTTTCTTTGGCTCAGATGAGTTAACTTGAAAATGGAAACAAGCACTTGAAATTTTATTGTAACTGCGGGTATGACAAATGCTAGTGTTTTAAGCAATATTTTTTGCATTGGATAAGTTGAGCACAACACAGGCACTTGAATTCTAGTAAACATTTCTTACCATACAGTGATGCACAATGAAATAGTAAAATTTTCTTATTGAACGAAACATTTTGGTCTTTCTTCACGTTCTTATAGAACATTGAATGTTACATAATAACACACCAATTTCTTTTGAAATGAGAAAGTAATATTCATTGCAATGCACCAGCATACCACAGTGCCCCCCCCCCCCCCCCTTCTTCAATATTTTGTCATCTTCTGTCTTGCAAGAGCACTTATTATTTATTTCTTAAATTATTATCAATGTTTGTTTGAGTTTAAACAAATAAGAACACAGTCTTTTTTTTTCCTTTCTGAAGAAATGGAAGTGTCATTATGTTACAACCAACATTCAAAAGAAAGCTCAAAACATTCCATTCAAACAGATTATTTTACCACTTCAATGTGCATCAATGTATACCAATATTTACTCGTACCAGTAGGCATGATGAGCCAGATGAGGTAGGGGTAATTCTATTTTTAATAAAAGTCAATTGCCTCTGGATCCAACTTAAATTTTAAATCAAGTTGAATCATTGTAATTTCCATGATAATTTATTATTTAATATACTTACCTTGCTAAAAAAGTCATCCTCTTCTTTGTCTCTTAAAATGTTTAAAACTTTAAACTCTTCATCTGCATATTAAAAAATAAAATATTACAGAATAATTTATGAATAATCATAGAATGATACAGGGTACATCTATAAATCTTCTTTATTGAATTTGTGCTCTAAGGACAAATCTTCCATTAGTATAGTCTGCAGATAATTAACATGATTATAAAATTCATACTGTAAAAAAGATGTAGTATTTGAAATACATAGAAAATATTAATACACTGTCTGCTCAAAATCATGTATTTTACATCATGTACATTCAAAACAAAAAATGTTAATATATTATAGAGAATACAATAATGCATGAAATATCCTAAGATTTGCAAAGATTCAAATTGAACTTACAGAGCCTTGAGATTAGAAATATCAGAAAATTTGCCAAAAGTCAAAAAAAAGAAGTCTTGCTTCCATCATGCCCCTGACTGCAATTGTAACAGAAAGGGAGATAATGTACAACTGGACTAGAAATCAAACCCTGAAACCCTGCATCACTACTCAGGTGCTCTACCAAGAGAGCTACTCAGGCTGATATCCATGGCCCAAACCATTACACCTCCCCCTTCCTTAAATTGTCTTCACCTTCGAAGACACAACCCAAGTTCTAATTTTTCACAAGCAGGACTTCACCTGTAAGTCCAGGGGTGGTCAACAGGATCAAATTATGTAAGAGGAAAAGAGAAAATGCATGGCTGGACCAAATCTAAACAGGGACCTGTGTATCACTTCTGGTGCTCTACCAACTGAGCTGCCCAGGCCAATATATCTATGCATGGCCCAAACTGTTACACTATAAACTGAGTACAGACATATGATATAATTATGAAAAAATATGGATCCAGTACAAGATGTCTAAAAAAAATGCTTGAGTAATATCACAGTGGTCAACATTTACTATTAATAGGCCTACATTCTTAATTAGGAATGTGTTTCTGAGAATATTTGAAATTTATATCAATGTGTTAAAAGAGATAGGTCTGAATCGGTATGAAACTAAGTGCTAGACTCATAGCAAGGCAGTCCAGTGCTTCCCTACCAAGCTTAAAGTTGAACCTACCAGATCAAGCTATCTTACAGTTCCACAATTTCCCTATAACGAGAAAGAGGTGCCATTGTCTTTTGCAGAGGGCCATTGCCTTTGGCATTCTTGGAGGCACTCAACTTCATTCAACAGAGAGTATCCATTTAGCCACAGAGTGAGTGTCAAACAGGTCTGTGTTTGAATCTTTGACCTTGAACACAACAATCCATTTCAATCAACTATTTAATTTCTTGAAATATGCACCTTTATCTATTGAGTACCTTGAATTATTCAATACTGGTGTTTCATTAACAGATAATAACAAGCATTCTGAGAGTATTGCATTAGCAATACTAGTCCCCTACCGGCAAGTGTAATCTGGTTCCCGCTAAAAATTGAAAATGTCATAATTCCGTCAAAAATCAATGAAGTGGAACGAAATGCAAACTTGCTATGTAACTCATCAAGATACACTCACATACCAAAAATCAGCTTAATATCTGCAAGCGTTTAGAAAAAAGTGCGGAAAACCAAGTGGGACAGACTGACAGACAGACAGAGGGACAGACGGACAGACAGACAGACAGACGGACAGACTCAGAGGAAACCTATAGTCCCCTCCGGTTTCACCGGTAGGGGACTAATAAGCATAGATATATTTGCAGTCATTCCGTTGCTTCCAGTCTATCACTGTTCTTGTACACTATTATTGGACATAAGAAGCAAATGATGTTATACTGCAAAGTCTTTATGATATTTGATCCTTCAAATTCTTTGTACTTAGTAGCTTTGGTACTTTTCCTGGAATAAATAGCTTGGAGGGATGGCCTGAACCAGACTCACAACCATATTTCCATCATCTCAAGCCACGGTCCAGAGTCTGCTTATAGCTTTCTACCACTACTCATGGCTGCTTGATCACATAAAATAAGGTAATCTTGAATAATCATGCCTCATGTGTAGCATCATGATATACACCAATGAAATGATTGTTTTCTTTTTTGCAATTACATACAACGTATACAATATTAAATGTTACATAAACTGTGATTGGATATCAAAAAGGATGTATCAAAAGCTATTAGGTTATTTTTAGACTATGCTTACTTGCATTGATCAATATTTTAACGAGCTAGGATATATTCTCTTCTGAGAGGATTGTACATTTTGACTGTAGTTTCTGCCAATGCCATTTTCCATAAAAACAAATGCCAAATCTCTGGCATTCTTGCTCAGACTCCCAAGTCCAGGGCCCATGACCATAAACTGAGAACAGACTTAAGTCAAAATTTTGAACCAATATAACTTTTGAAATAATTTTGATAATGAAGCAAACTTTTTACCTTATATTTGAATTTAAATGTTATATAAAATTGCCAATTTTTAAGCAAATACATTAAATAAAACTCAAGATATTAAAAATCAAAATTTTGACTTAAGTCTATTCTCAGTTTATGGTCTTGGGGCCAGGTTATGTAACAGCCTGAGACACATTCTGGGTCTTGTGAGTTGTGTCCTATAATTTCCTGTGAAGAAATGACTCCCTATCCTCTCAGTATTCATGTCTGTCCATATATAAGATTATATGTGGGATGGTCAAACAGATTCTATCGCCTGTGGTAGAGCAACTGACTAGAGATTCAGGGGGCCCAGGTTCAAATCCTGGTCTGGTCCATTAATTGCATTCTTCTCCTCTCCTGTTACATTTGGTGTCGTGCCATGCCCTTGAAGTGACAGATCTATGAAAGATCTGCCATGGAAGAGCACGGGTAGGTGTCTTTGGGGGTGAAGATGTTTTAGGAGTGAGGAGTGTGGCAGTAAGAAAGGTTCGATTGCCATATTGGCCAGATAGCTCAATTGGTAGAGCACCTGACTAGAGATTCAGGGGACCAGGGTTCAAATCCTGATCGGGTCAGTCAAATTTTTCTCCTCTCCTGTTACATGTAAGGTTCTAGACGATCGCTCCATACTCTAGGATTGATCAGTATCTGGGTTAATTAGTGACTAAGTGAGCTTAGGTGTATAGGTCACACAGTGTTGGTTACCTCGAATATGTGTGTTGTAGATATCAGACCTGCTGCACATGTAGTTTCTCGTGAATATTAACCGGACAATTCAAGAAGCATATTATTTTGGGATAGATTTATGGGTTTTTTTTTCATAAAAGGTTTTTCCCCCTAAATTTTGACCCTCTATGTATCCACTACTCATCATCATCAGCATCACTACTAAACCATTAAAATGCTATTCACATCCGAGTTTCCTCGATGTAATTTATTTGAAAGGTAAAGTCTTGGCCAATATTTTATCAAATAAATTCAAAATAAATTGAAAATACCTTCAGCATCCTCAGTAATTCTGCTGTAAATGGTACAACGTTGGCTGTGATGCACTGCAGAACGCTTGATATTGAAAAGAAACAATTTTGTTCTAACAATGTTAACAATATTTTTGGAGGCCATTTTGGGCTGAACGTGAGGCAACGAGATAACGCGAGATTTCTGTGTATTCAGTGGCGCAGCTGTCATGGCGGACGACTTGAAGCAGACAAGTGCCTTACTCAAAAGGCACGAACAATTAAAGCGCTGGGGTGAATCGGAAACAAATAAGGCTGCAGATACACCGAGAGACAAACCTAGAAAAGTTAAATTTCAAGACGGATGTGTATTTTTAGCTGCATGTTCAAGTGGAGACACCGAAGAAGTTGCAAGGCTCCTGAGAAGAGGGGCAGATATAAACACTGCCAATGTGGACGGTTTAACAGCCTTACATCAGGTAGATATCATTGTCCACAGATCAAGTTGAGATATCTGAAGATATTCCATGTGATAATTCCCTAGTATACAGCATTTATTCTCAGTGGTGCTGCATTCATTGCATGAGTTCTCTGCCCCTTGTTGACAGAATTTGACATTTTGCACCTGCAGAACATGCAGAATATCTTGATTTGAAGATTCAGTTAGTCGTGTATGCTTGTGTTTGAGAGAATGGGTAACTTGAAAAACTAAACAAATCATGCAAATAAATAGGTGTACTCAACATTCTCAAACATAAGAATATCCAATTTTTTTAAAAGTGCATGCTTGACGTTATCAAGTACAACTTGATTAAACCATCTCATTTAATTTCAAAGCTTTTTTTATGTACAGGTACATCCTAGTTACATCTCATGCCTAAAAGTTATGATTAAGATAATGTATGTTTGTTAATCATGATCTGGATGAAGTAAAAGAAATTAGGTTTGTTTCCTTCAGATGGAAGTCATTAAAACTTGATTAAGGAATTTGAATCGGATCAGTCAACATTTCTTGACCATAATATGATGGTATTATATAGTTCTGCTTCAGACTTTCCTCCTTGGGAATTAAGATACTTTGAAATGTTCTCAAAGTTGTAGCATTCAATATTGCTTCTTTTCATTCCACTAACGAAGAATTGATTAGAATTATGATCAATATCTCTCTTTATAAGAGATGGGCATACCTGAGATTGTCATAAGTAATGCTATTGGTGTGTTGATTAAAAAAGAAAAAGAAAATATGTACATAAATTAAACCACCATGCTTGAAAATCTTTAACAGTGTATAATTTACAATCCTAATATAAATTTTTGAAAGTTACAGATGACCCAGTGATTTGATTTACCTGTATACAGAGCTATAGAAATGTTTTGAGCATAGAATTTCCCTTTATTTATTATGCCTAATTAAATAGTAAACAATAGCTTTTGATGAGTCAGCTAAAATAAGGAAATTATACAATGTGGACAGATATCATAGGTGGTTAACTGTTTGTTTTTGTGAAGAATAAACCTTGGAATAATATGTACCTTATTGTAGCTAGTTACTGAGTCTCTCCTGTATGAAAGATGTTGATTTGCTCAAATTTTTGGCAGAGAATGTCAAAACGATATTTTAATGATAGACATTGAATGCACATTTGAAAATATCTTTGCTGTATACTGTATTTTGAATATCAGTCAGTGTTTTCTGTAAGAGCCAGCCACCGGCTATTTTGACCATTTCAATTAATAAAAATGCAGGTTAGACATGTATAATTTTTGTAACATTAACAGGAATGTTGCTGATAAACCTTAAACCCTGGCCTAGCTGTTGCAGTTGATTTTGAGCCCTTTACTTATGAAATAAAAAGAAAACAGTAATCTGTACTTTACTAAAGTAACAAATATTTAGTTTTACCATCTTCTCACTTTTTCTCTGAGACCTGAAAATAAATTAGCTCGTAAGAGAGCATTATAACTGTGTCCACCACTACATGTTGCTTTGTGTCAGTTTATATGTTATTCAGTTTATATGTTATTCAGTAAGCATTATTTCAGTTATCCTCCATTGTACTGGAAAATACACCAAAAGTGGTTGCTGAAAAGATTTTTATTATTGATTTATTTTGCATGTATATAGTGTGCATCTATTAGTCATCATTCTACAGTTTACACATGTATATGGAAAATTAAAGTTATTAAGATATATAAATATTTCAGTAGGAAAACTTCATGAATACCTTGGTTTAACATGAAGTACATTACACTTTAAATTCAGTTATTGATATAATTAATAACATTGGATGAGCAGTAATTTTGTGGGTCATTTTTACCTCTTTCAGAAGTTCTTCTGGCACATTTCTGGGTCCATGCAGTTTACTGAACCTATTCCCAACTGAAAAATTGTCCATAATGATATTTTCCCTATATTTAATTCATTTTCCAAATTGGGTTTCAGGTATTAAGTACATAAGAAAAGAAAAAAATGATTATTTTGAAATTTTTCTCATCTGAACTTTTTAAAGTTTACTTAAATGTGTGAAATTTCTAAATTCTGTGGATCCTTGTCATATGAAGCAATTGTCAGAAAGAAAACCCTGGCAATTAAACTTATGAGAATGTATAACTTACTGGTATATAATGCATTTATTGCAGTCAGTAAGCTTGTTATTTTTTAAATAATATATAATTTTATGAATTCATAAAAAAGAAAATTCATGGAGACCATAAGTTTTAACACATGCATGTATAAGGTACGTGTTTCTGTTTGAAAAGAGAGAGAGGGAGAGAATATCATGTAGCTTCTAGAAGAGCAAGTTCACATGTAGAAGTTTCATGAAAAACTACTTGCCTGGGGCTTCAACATGGTGTATTTGGGTATTGAATTTTATATTTCATTGCTCTTAATGAAACAGATGGGTGTGCTTTTGGTTGAAAAGAAAATGAATGATCAATTTAAAAAAAAAAAAAGATATTTACATAGCATCATATTAAATACAAAGTTCCTGTGTAGAATTTTTTTTCAATAAAAAGAAACACTGGCCTGTGGTTTTCCTAATATATATTCTCTCTAAAGTGGACATTGGTTTTGAACTTCTTATTAAAACAGAAACAGTTTTCTGTGATCCTAGTGATTTATAATTTTGACTAAGGGTGCAACGATAAACCGTTTGACGGTATATCGCGGTATATTTTTCCACGGTTCAATTCACGATACGCTAAACTGATATCGCGGTTCGGTTCAATCGGTCCAGAATTATCCGTTTTGTCCGTTTTATTTCCTTCTTTACTATTTCAAAATGGCTTCCGCGCAAAACGTGAGGTCGCCGATAACGCATTTATGGCAGTTAAACTCATCTCCAGCATCTTACAGACCTCAGATTTAACACGGAGAAGGACTTAATGTGATAATAAGTTATAGATGTTAAGACAAATGATAAACCCTTTAGATCTATAAACGTATTCTTTGGAAATACATGATATTCCATCACGTGTGTATTTCGATGAAAATTCGCTGTCTTGTTGACTAAAACGTATTAACACAAGAAATATGACAACCGGTTTTCTACGTAAATAAAAGGAATAAAAGAATGAATGTCTTCCTTTTTCATTCCAATTTAAAAGGAAGATTATTAGAAAAGGTCCCCGTAGTTCCCTGTAAATGTTCATCATTGGTTTAGAATGTTGTCACAACTCAAAGATCTACCTAACAATCCAATTCAAGTTAACAAAATGTTATTTTGATTATTATTAAAAAATGTGAACATTTTGTGTAACACTGCCAAGTTTAAAAAAACATGATGACAAACTTGAAAGACTTTTTAACCTCAGTTGTCATGTATCGTGATACGTATCGTATCGTGAATTGAATACCGTGATACGTATAGTATCGTGAGGTTAGTGTATCGTTGCACCCCTAATTTTGACATTGTAATTTTCTACATGGCTCACCAGGAAGGTTTCTCAGTGCCCTTTGTGACACAGGTTTTATGATTCATCATCAGAATCTTTTAAGATTTTTAACCCTCAGTGCAGTTCATGCTGTACTTTAAAAAAAAAAAACTGTGATAATGTGAAATTCATGTGCATGATGTGTATATCCCTATTGTACAGAGTGTATTCTGAAGTGATTAACAAACCCCATCTCCATTCAGATGATGAAGAAACACTTGTGCAGAGTTATTGTTTATACATTCCACTGTGATAACAGGCCAGTCTGAGGCTGAGTGGAATGTCTGTGCGTATGTGTTAGGCAAGGAGAACCAGTGATTGTGATATAATATTCCCCCATGGGGGAGGTATCAGAGGGGTGTTATTTTACTATTGCTGTGTAATAGCCAAGTTTGATTACCCCCCAATTATCTCTGTGTTGTATGGTACATGTCAGAGGGTACCTGCCTTAGCTCTCTGTATGCTGCCTCAGGCTGTGTTGTATCAGATGGAACACAGTCTTTTTTTTTCCTCTTTGCTATCTCACCTGTAGTAATAAAACTGTTTTTAAACTAAATTTTATATAATAATCATGAAAATGGTACAGTAGGTTGACTGTTTGGAAGGCATATATAATATATATAAACATAAGAAAGTAATACTTCCAACATTCCATTTGGAAATTACAAATCAGACAATTATGTAATCGATAAGAACAATCTGGTATTTTGAATAACATTGCAATACAGAGCTTTATTGGTTTGCTCATGTATGTATTTATTTAGTATGATGTATCTATCACCTGTTGATTGTAACCTGTTACAAGAAACATTGATTGTTGTTTTACTACAACAGCAACAATAATTCTGCTTTGAACATCCCTTCCCCTTCAAGAAAAAAAATGTATTTAAGGTGTCAGATATCCATGTAAATACTACAAAGTATTTCTGAGTTTGTAATTGCTTTATTTATTTAACATAGAGTTGCTTTATTGATTCCAGGCATGTATAGATGACAATCAGTCTATGGTGGAATTTTTGGTGGAAAATGGAGCTGATGTGGATGTATGTGATAACGAAGGGTGGACTCCACTTCATGCGACAGCGTCATGTGGATTTACGGAAATCGCCAGGTATTGTGGATAGAACAGGGAATTTGATTCTTATTTTTTGAAAAAATTTAATTATATCAACATAGAGAGGTTATAAATACAAACTTTGCACTTTTTACTTTTTAGTGTGCAAATCATCTTTTAATCTCTTGACGATTTTATTAATTTTCAGTGATTTAGACATCTGAAAAGTCTGAAGGCTTTTTAACATCAAAGCTAACAATTATTGCTTTTTATCAATTGTTTGTTTAGTATTTATAATATATCATTGTGACATCAATTTCTGATTCTCCAAGTCCTGCTGTAGATATCTTCTGGAACAAAAGGCTAACGTAGCTGCAGTAAATAATGATGGGGATCTCGCCATTGACATCTGTGAGGACAAAGAGATGAGGAAGATTCTCCAAGAAGAGATGGACAATCAGGGTAGGTATCCCAGCAGCCAACAGTCAAAATGGTGATGTATCCCACCAGTCAACAGTCAAAATGGTGATGATCCTAGCATTTAAAAGTCAAAAAGTGAAAGTATTTGCAAAGTTTCTAAATTCCTTTATCTGGCCTTTAAAATGTTTAACCAGGTTTTAAATAAATATAAGTGATGGAAAGGGTTAGAGAGGCTGACTAGAAAGGAATGTGTCACAGCATTATGAAGATTTGAAATGTCTGCATTAGTCTGTCTGTCTCAAATGTAACATTCAAAATTTCAGTTTTTAGAGTTCCTTGACACAAAAACTTATAGATAAGGGATAGAATTTGATCTTTACAGTTCTGTAACTTTTTTTTACATTTTTTTTTAATGGAATTTAGATTTCAATGTAGACAGTGTCCACCCACAGAAATAACAGTACAGTATGATGACTCAATATGTTTTGGGACACACAAGTTTCACATTTATTCACAAAACAACAAATATTTCATTCTTTAAAACCATGTATACCATACAATATGATATCCACAAATGGTTTAGTATATATGCAGTGCTAGAAATAATTATTTTTCTTTACTGGTCACTTGGGCTATCGACTTAAATTTTTACTGGTCAGCTAAGTACTTTCACTGTCTCACTGGGCCAGTAGATTTTAAAAGGACTGGCCCAAAACCATAATAATAAAAGTAATATTTTTTTATATTGTAATACTTAGATGTACAACTTAACAAAACAAGAAACAGCAGAAGTTGGGACACACAACCCTGTCCAGTTATACCGGTATAACTAGCCCAACATTGAATGATTTTTGTTATGCATAAAAATGCTGACCCAAAGGGCACATGCCTTCTGCAATGCACTAGCCCAGATTGAAAATTCACTGGCCCTGATATGGCATAAATTTTTTTCAAAACACATCATACACATTTCATATGGCTGCATTGCATTATCTAAAAAGTATAGATGTTAAACATAATAATACCAGACAGATTTCCTATTAAGTAACTAAGCCTGTGTGGTGGAGTTACTACCTTTGTACTTTTGTGACAGTGTACTATGTTACTTGGCCTGGTTAATTGTTTTCGGGGATGATTTTCCTGTGTTTACAGTTTATCCCCGTTCTTCACGCTTCCTGTAACAAGTGCTCAGTCAGTCGCTCAGATTATCTCCTTAGTCACTTATACATCATTGTCAATATATTAATTAAACATTCACCTCCTTAATAGTTTATGATTGTAATTAGGCAACCAAAGAAGAAAATCTGAAAATATTGAAATCAGCTTTTGTGGAATAAATTGAAAGAAAAAAAATGTGAAGAACAGATAATCATGCTATATATTTGTACATTTGTTTGCACTGATGCCAAAATAAAAAAAAAATGTTGCTTACAGGATTTTGTATATAAAATTATACACTATAATCCACCGATTTATACAAGATAGATAATTAAAAACAAGTCTGTTTTTGTCAAAATGAAAGTTAGAACTGGTTTGATGTTGGTCTGTAAGTTGAATGAGATCACATGTCAACAGTCTTTATGTCTCACTACTTAATAATCACATGATTATCATGTGTTTAAAAAGTTTTAGCAAATTATATCCATGGCAAAAAGATTTATTTGAATGCACTTTTCCCAAAACTTGCATGTAATTTGTCATTGAGCCATTGTTCACTTTTTTCCAAAACTTAATTTTTCATTGAGCCCTTAAGTTCACAGATTTATCAAAAGATATCAATGTTTTTACTGTTTAATTTACAAAATCTAAGGAAATGCACAGAATGTAGCATTTATTGCTTGATTCTTTTTATATCATATTAAAAAGTAACTGTCGAAGCTTGTAAAAATGGAAGTAACCACAAGGTACATTAGTGTGGCATTGTGTAAATAGTGTATGGTTTTACAGGAGTGGATGCAGATGTAGCCAGGTCTGAGGAAGAAAACCAGATGTTACAAGACGCCAATAAATGGCTGAACAACAAATCTGTCAAGGAGAAGAAACACCCCAAAACAGGGGCCACTGCCCTCCACGTGGCAGCCGCCAAGGGTTACATGAAGGTCATCAAGTGAGTTATCTGACGTGAAACTTATTTACATGGTCAGTAAGAAGAAAACTTGCTTAGTGTAAAATTCCTTGCATACAGACCATGAGTTACACTAGAATTGTCAGGAGTCCACAGGACTACAAGGGATTTGACCACCAGTAAACGGTACCTTTCCCCTCTGGAAAAAAAAGTGTCAGAATTTCCCTTTAGTTAAATAATATTTCCTCATAAAACATGCATGTAACATTTAAAATATATTTTTTTCTTGATAGTTTTAGAAATGACCCCCCAGATATAGCTTTCAGAATGCAGATTTTTGCAATATTTATTTGCATCCCCTCGGACTCCAGTAGTGTATTGATTTCATACCTTTAGCACTGATGTCAAATAAGCAATTGTTCTCAATTTCCCCCTTTGCATGAAAAGGGTAGTCAAATAAAATAGCCAGATAAATCTCTGATTACAAGTTAAGCTTCTGTTCTGAGATAGCAGCATACAAAGCTGTTTTCTGCTGACTTGATTATTTTACGTTCCCCACAGAAATGAAAAATAAATTTTTTTCTGTTTTTTTATGACTTTTTTTTTTTAAGTAGATAAAAATGACAAGTTTGTGCACTGTAGGTGGCAACAATTGACATAAAGCATGACTGAAGGTGAAAATTACAAATTAAAGAAAACATGTATTTATTAGTTTTATAGTTATCTGTGTTGGCAAGTGGACATTCCAACTAAAAATAATACCAGTATTTGTTATTGGAGATGGTAATCTTGCTCAAAACCTTGTACTGTTAATAGACTTTGCGTTATGTCTTTCATTAACGGACATATATTTAACATGGGTGGCCATGGTTTTTTTTTATCCGATATAAAAAAGTATATTTTAATTTCAGCATTTTTTTTTTCATCAAATAAATAGTCATTCTGAACAAGAGCAGTAGAACAGATTCTATTATTTGTTGTTTGTTGCAGTATCTTGCTGAAGGCAGGGGCTGACGTGAACTCTCAGGATTATGATGGATGGACCCCCCTCCACGCTGCTGCCCATTGGGCACAGGAAGAGGCATGTAAAGTTCTGGTGGACCACATGTGTGACATGCAGATCAAAAACAATGCTGTAAGTGTAGACAGATAAAAAAAAAACAATGCTGTAAGTGTAGACAGATCAAAAACAATGCTGTAAGTGTAGACAGATCAAAAACAATGCTGTAAATGTAGACATTCAGCACTGACCAATAGTTTGATTGAAAATTATCTTTCAATGCATAAAAAGCATCTATGCCCATGTTTCAAGTTTAAGGATAGGATCCCAAAGACAGAAAGCCAGAGAAAAATGAAAGTTTATTTGATCATGTATTATTTCATTATGCTTTATCCAAATGATTTACATGTATAACTTTGAAATATTTACTAACCTGTTGGACTACCACTGAATTTTACAAGCACAGGCCAATTTTGGTAGCTCTGGGATAGTGAGTTTGCCTAAAAACTTGGTTATCTTCCTTTGATTTATCCAATGAGATGACTTCAGTTGGAATGAGTAAGTTTGCATAGTGTCATTTCACTGAGTTCTTAAGAATTTCTGCTTGATTTATTTTACAGGGACAAACAGCTTATACATGTATATGAGATGACAGACTCGGATATACTCAAATTTTTGGTTTATTTTACAGGGACAGACAGTGTATGATGTAGCAGACTCAGATATACTCAAAACTTTTGATTTATTTTACAGGGACAGACAGCGTATGATGTAGCAGACTCAGATATACTCAAAACTCTTGGTTTATTTTACAGGGACAGACAGCGTATGATGTAGCAGACGCAGATATACTCAAAACTTTTGATTTATTTTACAGGGACAGACAGCGTATGATGTAGCAGACTCAGATATACTCAAACTTTTGGTTTATTTTACAGGGACAGACAGCGTATGATGTAGCAGACTCAGATATACTCAAACTTTTAGAGGAACTCGAGAAGAAGCAGGAATCTGTAAGTAAACAAGTCCTTTTCATGTTAATCAGTTTCCTAAATTTGATGTAGGGTTTTCAAAATTGCTGTGTATTTTTAATCATTTAAAATTAAAAAGGTTAAAGCATTTATGTAACACTTTATGAATAAATATATGAAGGCATGCAGGAACTAAATTTTGACGTAATGTACAAATTCACTGTACCTAAAAATTTCCCCCGTGTGCTGAGAAACCTTCTGAGTTATAAGGATCTGTTTCATTTCTCTTTAGAAAAAAGACCTAAAGGACTCCCAAAATGAAGTGATACCCACGCGGTCCCACCACCAGAAGAGAAGGTATGTCATTCTAAGAATTACTTATATGATAGGTAATGGTGTAAAAGGGGGCGTGGTCCACACTAGTTAGGAAACCCTTGTACTTGTTACATATGGAATGTTATCTGGTTTGAGTTTTTAAAAAAAATCATGAAGACAATGAATGAATTAAATAAATGATAATTTTTGCAGTGTTTATGATAGTGCAGTTCGTCTTTTTACCCCTTCTGTGTTCACTGGAATATTATCACGATTACTTTCATAGTTTAAGTAGAATTTTTTTTCATATCATTGCATTTTTTTGGAACAATGGAGAGCAAACTTAAATAAAAATTTCCCTCATAGTTTTTGCATGATTTTCTTAAACTGCACGCTTTTAATTTTTTTATTTTTAAATTTTGAATTGCCTTTTTTTTCTTCATTTAATAATCAATTACATGTTTTTATACAGCATATACAGCATTTGCTAATCTAGAGAAAGACACAAGAGGAACATTGAATATTGTCACGTTTTTTGTTCATTTACTTATCAATCCCTAATATTTTAATTTTTGACCCCCTTTTTAGTAAGATTTTAAAAATCAATTTAGTTATATCATCTAATTGAACTATATGCATGAATATTATAATCATGGTTACATTTTCCAGAAGTATTAAGTATAAATGTACTAAGAAATCTGAATATACTTACAATTATATACATGTATATACATGATATATAAGGTTGTAGTCTAAAATGTAACCCAGTAAAGGTAACATTGATCTTAGAGAGAGTGTATATACCTTTTCTTGTGTATGTTATTTTCAGCCGGAGTGATTCCACAAGGTTCCATATATTTTTTTTGTACTTATGTAATCGTATCTGTGCATTTATCAGGGGGTTAAAGTCGCAGGTTTTAGGAGACAGAAAAATGACTTCAAGGGAGTGAACTCAAAAAGTGAAATGAGATTATGTCAAATGTAATTCTAATTTTTGGATGCACCCCTCTCAACTCAAAGTTTAGAAATATTATTATGGCATATTTATGATGAAAAAGTAATCTGGAAAATATAATGCCAAAATCTATAAAAGATAGAAAATAATCAGAATTACATATGGTATTGTATTTCTTGTGAATTTTGCCCTGCTGATAAGTGCACTGAAATTAGACTACCTGGCTTGGGAGTTTGGCAAAGTTATTTATAGTAATGCTTAAGCTTCGTTTGACCGCTCTTTAGTTTATACATTTCATTATCAGCAGCGATTGTGATTTTTTAATAGCTTTTTCTTCATGAAAAATATGTCTAGCGTAGGAAAGAAAAAAAAAATCAACAACAACAAAAAAAATCCTAAGTTTATGAATTATGAAATAAAACCTCTCATTATAGTTTGTATTTTTATATGGGGCCTCTTGGGAAGACTATCTGTTGCTCACAATTTGATCTATATTTAATCATACTTAGTCTATTAATTAATCAATTGACATCTCAATTAAACTTGTTTTTCATGTGGAATATATCTAATATTGTTGCCCACTTTCGGTAAAATCCATGCATCAGTATTACCATGTCCTATTTTGCATACAGGCAGTACATAGGGTTTTTGATCTGTAGAATCCCAGTTAACATTGTGTGAGAAATGGCACACTGAGAGGGGGGCTAGATATATTGTTAGGGAAGAGTTTGACACAGGTCTGAAATCTTGTTAAACCGCAAGAGTTAATATCAATTCTGGTGCAGATTTCCAGTTAAAATTCATGTTTCCCCACTCATTTCTTAAAAGCTTCATTGATTTTTTTTTTTTTTTGTTCATCTGAAATAAATATTTCAGATTTTTTTGCCATCACAGTTGTTTATCACATTTTCACAAGAAAGTACTCATTTTGAAAAAAAAAAAAATCAACCTATTTTCCAAAGATATCAGTATTCTATCTAGGATTTCCTTTTAATCATATTGCACGACAAATTTTACGTATGTAAAAGAGTTTCCCTATGTACAATGTAAACCCATTTTACTGTACAATTATTCTAAATCTACACCTCTTCACTCTATTCTCCACTATTATAACAAAACAGAAGCTAGTGGTGATCATTAGTAAGGGTCCACCCTCCCTAAGAAAGGCATGATCTCAAACTCAGACCAATAGATGTTTTTTAATTATAGTATATGTTTGCATGAAAAGATAATCACCTGAAATTGAAAGACTGACACACAGTATCAAGACTGTCACACACACATGTACAAATTAATTTGTAGACCGGGTAGAATTTAAAGAGGTTCAGTTAGAGGGATTTAAGTAGCAGGTATTGTAGTGTAAATTAGAGTAGCCCCTACACCCTATAACTCTCTGTGTAATTGTATTAGATATTTAGTTCTTAAATAACAAACATGTCCTGGCCGTTAAGAAACAGTGGTTTAATTAAGATACAAACAGTATTGTATGAATGACCATTTATCTTCAGTACATGAGGAATAGGAGTTGCAGGATGAGAGGGTTACCAGATCATGTTTACATGGCTTAACTGTTTGGAATGTTTCAATTAGGGATTTTAAGCTGTTTCTGGGTAAAATCTGAGTAAATTTGCCAATGCTCGAATTAAATAAAAATATTTGGCAGTTTGAGACTCCTTTACATAAAGTGTGCTTTTAAAAAAAAATGAGAAAATAGCAGCAATTTTTTTTCTTTTTAAAGTTCTCAGGCTTAGGGATTTAACTGCATTCTTTGATGTTATTAAGGTCGTTTTGATAACTTTTTAACTTGACAAATAAAGAATTTTGGAATGTGCACTGTTTGAAGAACAAATTACCCAATAGTTAAAGTATTTGTGTAAATAGACTCCAAAGGTATTGTTATAGCCCGTGTCTATTGGACAAAATCTAATTGTGTGCATTTGAGGGACCCAATTTTAATAAAATTATCCATAAAACTCTGAACACATTTTGAATTCATATGGTGTCATTTGAGGGTTGAGTGATATAATTTGTTTAGAGAGAGGATATATTAAGATAAAGCATTTCAGCATAAATGGCAGTATGACCTTGCATTACACGGTGACAGCTGATTCATTCATGCGTGTATGTAATGTTACAGTGAACTAAGACAGTGTGTTTTGGAATATTATCTGATAGGGAGGAAATTTAATGTGACAATGGGGTGTGTAAGGTAAGGGGAGGCAACTGCTCTTGAATGGACTTTAAATTATTAAATAAATTATGGGAGTAGGTATATACTAAAATGTTGGTAATATATTTTTTTTACTGTTCATTGTATCTAAATCTGTTTCCAATGAGAATTTTTGGTTATCATTTTTGACTGGAGAAGAAGTGATAAACAATGTTACCTTTTATGGATTTGTTGCAATTCAAACAGGATTTGTTTGGAATGAAAGTAAAGGTGTTTTGTATGCATGATTCATTCAGAAAGAATTTAAAACAATGTCCACACTTATTCACCAGAGGCATGTACTATGATCTACTTGTCAGTGTTTGCATTACAAATTTTTCCCTGCCCTCTGATTTGACTTGTACATGTGCATATCCCACAGTGTCGTCCTCTGTCATTATAATCTATGCAAATGCATTGATTGTTTTCTTGCATTTCGTCATTTTTGGGATTTCTTCTATTTTAAAGTATTTCAGGTTTATGTATGAAAATCTTTTTAAAATTTTTTTTAGAAAGTTGAAATTTGCAAAAGTTTTTATCAATCTTAGCCTAATATAGTATGATTAAAAAAAAATGTAAAGGATATGTACCCATACACGATGAATCCGAGAGAAATATTAATGATCAGTATCTCTTTTCTCCTTATTTGAGCTTTAACTTTGGACAGTTCTGTAAGAGTTAATGATTTACCAGCTATTTCTATTTGATCTAGGGACAATACCTCGCAAAATTTAACTTCAGACTTAGACAGGTACATATGCAACATGAAGCCTCCCAACATTCTTATTAAAACTTGCATGGTGTGATTGTAAATGTAACGGACTACACAAGTTAAATATGCTTCTTTAAGAAACCAACAATTCCCCAGCCTAGAACCTTGTAACAGAAAGCACCAATAATCTTGATGGTCACAATTTCCAAATAAAAAAGATTTTATTAATTGATAAATACTTAGTCCAAGAAAATACTGAATTGTCACGAAGTTTGCATTTTGACCGATATTGAATTTTCAGTAGAAAAGTCCATTTCTAATTTGAATTTTAAGATGATTGAAAATGTGACTATATCAGATGGTTTTGTTTATAGCACAGTGTGTCTGTCTGTCTGTAAGTGGTGGCTGGTCATTAAACAGTACTAAGGGATTTTGTCATTTTGGGGATGCAGTTAGTAAAATTAAAATCTAATTTGCTGCCTTATGGAAATAACCCAATAATCTTGTTGATCATGTTAACACAGTTTCTGCTATCGCACTAGCCAGAGACAGTGTGTGTTGTTTGAATCAGGGGGTGTTTTACAGGCCTAAAATTTTTACTAATGCTCTCTCTCTTTATCTTATAAATCTGCTGCAATTGCCAAATTTAAGCTGTTGTGTCATTTCTGTTTCATATTTTCCAACCATATACCACTGTGTCTTAATGCAGAACTCCATATAATTCTGTTATGTTTAACTTAATATTTAAGTTTAACATGTTTAAGCATTGAAGTGAAGCCATTGTAATATATAATAATTATTATATTATGCCTAATTTTTACTTCTTTAAGTTGCATATTTCCTGCTATTATGTGACTTAAGAATGTGATCTGTGTATATATATATATATTTAATTTGATATCAGATTTTTTTCTGGAAATTATTTTGTTTTGTAATTTTTATGTGAATTAATTGGTTAAATCGGAAAAAGAAACTTTCAGTCTGAAAAAAGGGTGTAAATTAAAATTTCTGTAATTTTTTTTTGTCGGAGTTCTAATTTTAGTATCATTTTCAGTTCTATTTATAGTAACATTTTGCTTGTAATTTCAGGAGCTCCGTGACTCGGATGAGTGTGGACCAGAAACATAATGTGAACGTAAAAACCGTGGAACAAGAACGCGCCGCTTTAGAAGCAGCTCTTCAGTCACCGACAGAGGAGGAAGAAAAGGTCATCAAGAGTAGCTCCAGTTCCGCGAGTGAAGAAGAGAGCTCAGAGGAGTCCGAAATAAGCTTGAAAACAGAACCAGCTCCGAAATCTGAAACAGGTTCAAACTTCAGCTTTATGTGTGAACAAAGTTTCATTTGTAGCGTCTGTTGTACAATTAGTGGTGATTGGTCTGTTTCAAAAATGTTTTATGTTAATAACAACTAAAACGTTGAGGAAAAAAATCTTTTTGAGGTATATATGTTTATTACCTCTGCAACGTGCAATGATAATGTTATAATCCAAACAGTTAATTTCTTCTCTTTTTTCAGAAAAACAAAATGAACTTAATAGATTGTCATCGAATCAATTGGTAAGAATTTTCATAATATATGAATCTTCTTCACTTTAAGAAGAGAAAGATCACTCAGTGAAGTCCACAAGTTAAAGAAGCAACAGCTGATATTGTAACAGTGTAATACAATATGGTTAACTGTCTATCAATAGACTATATAATTTATTCTAATAAGTTATGAAAGGTCATAATAATGTTAACTCTTAACAAATGGGATCACCAACCATTTGCAAGGAGAAGTTATTTTGTAAAAAGAGGAAATTAGCTCTAAAGTAATACCTGGTTGATTTCAGCCTCGAGAGAGAGACAAGCCCCCAATCACAACAGTGGTGGAGACCAAAGATGCCCCCAAAATTGATGAAAAGGGGGAGACAACTCATGTAACCATCAAGGACAAGATAAACGAGGACGCCGTGATGCAGAATAAAGAGGAAACACCCACCATCGAAAAAATAGGAGATTCTCTGAAGGTAATTCACAGACACATATACAGTCACTGGATGTGTGTTGGTATAAGTGTAGAGCTAGAATTGGGAGTCCTTTATCAACTCAAAATTTAATCAGATCTGCACAAACTTGATGATGAATTAATATTTAAGTTGAAATTGTTGTAACAGTTGTGAAACTAGGGGGTTTCTTTTTTCATTTGTATTCCTTTTCAAAAGTTTAAAGTTTGGAAGCTAGTTTCTAAATGATTTTGAAGAAATACAAAGATTAAAGTATCAGGATCTTAAGTGTTTAGAATATACAGGGGGAAAAAATCTTAAAATATTTAAAGATTGTAACAATATGAGATATGGTAATACCTGTAAATTTTCAGGACACACGCTCCAAGCTTAGGTTGAGACTGAAGGTAACATTCAGAGCATGCATTCATTACAAAGATAGGGAAGGGGCACAATGGCTTTGTCTGTTAATACTTTCGTCTAGTAACTTTTGGAGGAAGTTTATTGAATTATTTGTCATGTTTTTCTGCATATAGCAAAATTAAAGTTAGGTTGGAAAGTGAAGGAACATTTAAATGACAGATATTGAGAAACTGATTTGGTGGTTTTCATAATTATTCACATTTGTAAGTGTCTCAAATATGAACACAATTTTGATTTTAATGTTTTACATCTGTAAATTATTTAGATGATTTATTTACCACTAAATTTAAAAGACAAACTCATTCTATAACAGCAAACAGTATATCCACAAGGCATGTCTACAGAATCCCCTTAGGGTGCATGCATCACAATCTAGGCAGAAATTATTATGAATATTAACTCTAGGCATGTTTTATTAATTAATTTAAGAAATTAGAAATGAACTTAAAGGAAAAGTATATCTTGTGAACAAAAAAAAATATTTTGAAACATTTGGGAATGATTTTCTAATGGAAATATGACCCAACATTTTACAATATATTTAAAGAAATCAGATTGAGTGTATTAATTACAAAAAAGAATGAGTATAAAGTGAAGATTTTTCTGCATGAGGAGTTCTAAGTGAGGGCTGGTGAATGATAAAACTTGGTGGTTTTGTTCATAAGGAGATAGCTAAGGAAACGGAAGAGAAAGAAGTCTCTGACAGCAAGCCAGAAAAGTCAGACTCCACAGAGAAGGAGGAGGGGCCACGTACAGGGGTGGAGGAGAAGGGGCCACCTACGGGGGTGGAGGAGAAAGGGCCACCTACGGGGGTGGAGGAGGGGCAGCGATCGAGGGTGAGTGATCAGATCAGTCTGACTCGCTCGCTGAGCATGCCTGCTCAATACCGATCCGAGGTAACCGCACTCTACCAGGGCTCAGACCAGCAGGGGGTGCTCTCCCACAACACAGGGTTCACTGTTTACATGTACATTATAGATTCTGTGTTTCATGTTGCATTCAAACATTTAAGTTTTGTATTTTGGAACTGGTATACTTAATAAAGAAGATCTGGACTCTGTGATAAAGATTTAAGGAGAAGACTAAGTTTCAGAACTTGCGTCTGATCCTTTTGACTTTTTTTTCTCTGATTTATGAACATCAAAAAAATTTGTTAAAATTATTAAACTCATTTTCTCTTATTAATGAATTTGGGGATGTGTAAACAGTGACCCAAACCTTTGAGAGTTAACCTCCCTGACACTGGTCACTTATATGCCCCTCCTTGAGTGACGTGGTGCGGGTTTTGCTTCGGTGGTGCCACTGGGGCCGCTCTGGTTGGTCTAACCTCCACAAAAACACACCAGCCAATGTGGTTTCCAGTGTCTGCTTTGTCTGGTATTAACCTCCGCATCATGGCCTGCCTTACTGACAACGTTACTGTAATCCTTGTTTATACTGTGTGTGTGTTATATATATACTGAAAAAAACACTCAATTGATCACTTATATACATCACTCAACATCTTAAACTCCACACTGTATAATCAATCTTCCTAAAAGCTCCAATTATTATGATTTTTTACATAATTATGTATTTTTCTATCATAATTTTTTTTAATTAACTGGCATTTTTTTTCCATTGCATTACATATTTGTAGTTTGGCTTGTACTGTTGTCTTTTACTCAAGAAACTAAGAATCTAAATAGAATGAAGTTAACATTTTCCCAAACTTTTAAAATCTAATCTTTTTTATACTTGTATAATAAAATTTTGACAAGTCTGAATGTAATCTTGAATTTCATAATGAAAGTGATAAAAAAAATTGCCATAACATTGAAAAAGAAAAGAAAGATTAAAAGTTAAGCCACATAAAAAATCTTTTTTTTGAATTTAAAAAAAAGTATTTCTTAGTGTAATGTTTGTAATAAGATAGATGTTGTGTTTACATTTCACTCCTGCAATTTCAATTTGTATTTTTATTTTCACTTTGTCACATTAACTGACATTTTGAGTGTGTGATCTGTTGTTGTGTGTATTTTTTTTTAATTTTGGTTTACAATCCCTGCATGTTGTTGTAGGTGCCCATTATCTCCCTTCAGAAACCAGGAGAAGATAACTCCTCTACTGCTCCTCTCCGAGAGACGCCACCGTGGCGGGCCGGCTTACGTAAAACAGGAAGTACCAGCATGGTGAACGACACAATCAACGAAAATGACAAGACTAACCTGCCACGCTCTGCCTCTAGTCCCCGCCTGAACAATAACAATAGATCTGAGAGCGTGAGTCCCCTATCATTGAGCTCTGTTTCGTATTCAGGCAATATCAGTGATCTCCATTTCTTCTTATTACTGTCATTGATAGAAATGTGATTTATTTACAGTAGAACCGTTTTCCCTTCAAGATTTCTTTGTAATATAAAAGTTCATTCTATTATATACAACTGATGAGCAGAACATTTTGCTTCACCTGACAATTTTATTAGATATCCTTCATGAGCTGTTTAAAAAAAAATGAAAGACTGTCCTTAGTTTAAAGCAATAAAAAATTAATATCTTGATTACTAGAGGGTAAAGTTAATGAATTTTAAATAGTCTGCTAAAATGATCTTTGATAACAGTAACTTTCTGAATTTTATATCGTAGCATAATATATGTTTTACTTTTGTTGGTAACAAATCCTTATATCTTGGTTTTGTTAATTTTGTATAATTATTATTATGAAGTGTGGATAATTTATTGTACAAGAAATGTTGTGGCATGCTAAGCATGAAAGTTTTCCTTATCCTCTGCTCACAGAAGAAAATGTTCTTTACTAGAAATAATTATCCCTTGATATCGATATAAATTATTCAAGAATTAAATGCAGTGTGCTTGTTTAGCATGTCTTAGACTGCATATTCTTTTTAAGTAAGACTTCAACTCAATCTTTCTCCCTCTCTCTTTAGGTATAAGATAATATTGTTATTTTTATGTTTGTAGGATAAGTCCAATACAACTCGACCATTCCTGATAACCAGCACCATATCAGAAAACCAAGAGAATAAAGTCCCAGATAGGTGAGCTAAATGTGTCTTATACCTTATAATACTGCATCACCAGAACAGGCCTAAGGACCATGAAGCAGCTCTATACTTCAGACAAAATTTGTACATTGTCTTAAAAGTTTAATATAGAGTTCAACATGAAATTTGAAATGATGTTTAATTCTGTCTTCTTTTCATGTTCTTGATTTGAAATTTAAAATTATCAATTAATAATAAATACTTTAGCATTTTCTAAATCTCTGAAATTTTGACATAGATCTAAGACTGCTTCATCCTCCTGGGTTCAGGTGAGCTAAATAGGTCCCTTGTCATGTTATACTGTCACCTTACAGGTGAGCTAAGTAGGTCCCTTGTCATGTTATACTCTGTCGCCTAACAGATGAGCTAAAATAGGTCCCTTGTCATGTTATACTGTGTCACCTAACAGGTGAGCTAAATAGGTACCTTGTCATGTTATACTGTGTCACCAGAATATATGAGCTTAATTTGATTTGAAAGTCCCAAGAACTTTTTCCCTCAATATCTTGAATCCTTTGATATCTGGAAGTTCTTTTTTCTCAGTCCTATCACGTTTGAGATAATGAGGTTTGACTCTTTTAAGATGCTGACTTTGATTTCCAGTAGATATATTTTATAAATTATATGATCTTTTCAGGTTGTCTAGCTTAGGACTTCAGTGCCTTTTTCTAGCTGTTCTTTCTTTTTTCTGGTATTCTGTTCTATCAGAAGTTATAGTATAGAACTATAGTCAATCATAATCAGGTGTAATCTGCCACCAAAAGCATGTAATCTTAGATTGAAATGATTTTTTTTTTTTTTTTTGGCATTTAAATGGAATGTACATATACATGTATGTTAAGCTTTTCTTTCAATTTTTGTTTTTGATATTTGGTTTCAAAATAATCAGAAAATATGAGAATCTCTATGGATTTAGTGTACTAATCATTTGGTTGTGATTGCATATTCCAGTATTAGCAAAAATGTCTATATTGAATGAAGAATGAGAACATTAGAACACAGTATTTTATTTTGTTTTTAAGTTCATTCTTTATTTTACGATAGTATGTGAATAGAATGTAGATTGCTCTCTATTGAATGTATGACTAATTGACTAATATGTCTGTTGCCTCTTTTTTCCCTTTCATCAGCCGAGCTTCTTGCCCTTAACCTTACTAAGTTGGTGTGCATGACCGATCACAGAATCGGAGTGCTTGACCGATCACTGTGTCGCTGTGCATGACTGATCACTAAGCTTGTCGGCCTTTTTTTAGATTTGGCTCTTCCTCTGTTAGTACCACTTCCTCCACTTCCACAACCTTGACCTCAACATCGTCATTGAGAGGCTTGAATCCATACAGAAGTTTTTCCGCATACAAACGCTTGGAAGACCGAATGGAGGATTATCGATCATCACTGCCAGCACGGATAAACCAGCAACCTGCAACCACTGCCTCGTCAGCTCTGACCCCCAGTGCTACCGTGACAACTGTTGGCTTGACAACAGGAACCACAACTTCTATATCTTCATCAACAATATCTTCCCCTTACTCCAATTATCAGTTTGCGAGGTTTGTATGACCCAGCCATCATATTTAACCCTTTACCATAATGTAATACTTTTGACCATTTCATTGACACATAAATTACAAACTGGGAAATATCTCATGTATCACTAAAGCTCATAATTTAGTTTAACATTGTATTGTATAGTGGTATTTATTAACCAAGATTTGAAAAGCAAGTAATTCATTGGTCCTTGGATACTAAGAAATAGATCTCATTTGGGAAGAAAGTCATAAAATTGCATCAGTTTGTCACCAGAAAACTTTCTGTTTCAGTATGCATGTCTGCATTGTGACTAATACAAATCATTTTGACTGGCATTCTTTGTAAATAAGAAAATTTTTTTATACAGGCCCTATGGTATACCAAAACGTGACGAGGAGGCAGAAACTCAAAGAAAAGCTCGTGCCAAGAGAGCCCGAGAGACGAGACGGTCAACACAGGTCAGTATAAAACAGAGGTAGAGAACTAGTTTATAAGCAGTCTATAGGTTATTTGCATTTCATCTTTGAATTTGATGGAATTTACTATAAATTACTAATTTTTGTGAAGAGTTCAATTTTTCATTGTTTTTGAGGTATGAAGAGACCCAGAATTCAAGTCCTCCACAAAATGTTAAAAATTCAAATACAGTTTTATATTTGCTTCTCCAACCACAAAATCAGATCCCCATGAACCAGTGCATTTTCCTTAAACTGTTAAAATTTGACACCCCCCCCCCCCCCCCCCAAAAATGATTTTACAGTTAATCTAATGTTTCTTACAAGAGAGCATAACTTTTTAAGGACAGATGATACAAACAAAAACTGGATGACTGGATTGGTATACATGTTTATTTTTTGACCTATTTTGGTTGTAAATTATGCAAATAATAAATGTCTAAAATATTAAGAAATTGTAAACATTCAATGATGTTCACAATTCTACCTTTCTGCAACCATCCTTATTAATCTATACAACTTTTTGTCACTTTAAATCCCATTATTGTAAATCTTGAATGAAAAATTAAAAACTATGTGTTAAAATTTATTCATTTTACCTATATAAACATGACTTAAGTCGTTATTTTCAAGATTTCTGATAAAAGTTTGTATAATCTGTCCTTAAGTTAAACTTATGTTTATTCTTTAGTAATTATTAATATCTCTGGTTTAACATTTGTTGTGTGTTTGTTAGGGGGTAACTAGGGAAGACATTCAGAAAGCAGAGGAGGTGCTTAGCGGGACATCCCGTACTGAGACGGACAAGAGACTGGCCGCGCCGGAGGTCACAGATAAATCTGTAAATAAAGAGAGCGAAAGCTCAACCACTAGTGCTTCATCTCTCAGTGAGAGAGTTACCTCAGAAAACGACTCCGTAACGTTACGACGGAACAGGGAGGTAGGTCTGGATCATGTGCATGTAAAGGTTTGACTTCATGCTTGGTTATACATGTATATATAGAGAACCGTTTGTATAAGTTTTAGTACCATACTCTTAATATGGATATATTTTTTATTTCAATGATCAAAGAAAGATTAGTGTCAATGGTATACAGTTACTGTATGTTTCCAATGTGTTTTGTAGGATGAACCAAGAAGTAACAGCTTTCGGAGGTCTCGAGACTCCAAAGATATTACAGATTCTTATACTCGTGAGTTTCCTTCTTTAGTCTCATTATCAATTAGTACAAAGTCTGCATTACACAAAGTGTACATTCCTCGTGATCCCAAACCTATCTTTCCATGGTCTTATGACCATAAAATCGAGAACAGACTTAAGGGAGCCAACTGGGGTTTTATTGTGTGAAATCCTCAATAGAAAAACTCTTTAAATTTATATAATATGTTTTGGTGACCATTTCAAAATAAGACACATTTACTATAGGAATATGTGGAAAAGTGCTAGTTTTTCACACTTCAAAACCAATTTTACAAATACTACAGTAAACTTTTGCTCAAAATTTCTATCCTCTGGTTTCCAGATGGGATATCTCAAAATGTAAAAATTTAGAAATTTTCTGTTTTTTATGGAGTACTACAGAACATAACAAATACTAATGATTTATAGAAAAAATATCAGAAAATAATTGCGAGATTTTCAAATTCCTGTGTTTAAAATTTCAAGAGCATATATTTTAGACTTTTTCTATGATAACATTTTTTATTACTCCCTCCTCAAGAACTTCAGTTTATCGTAATGTCACAAAAACACTAAAACGGCGTCCATCTACCTATCATTTAAAAAATCGTTAAAAAAATCTGTTCTTTAAAATTGTAATTAGATTTTTAACTTGTGATATCTTAATTTTGTTAAATTTGATAAATTAAGTGAAAATAGTGGCATTGAAAGTATAAGTATGTTTGATTTTACTATACTGAGCAAAGTATTGCCCAATGAAAATCCCAGTTGGCCCCCTTAAGTCAAAATATAAAAATTATTTAACTTTTGAAATAATTGAAATAAGCAAAATTTTGTCATGTGTTTGCATTTGTATATTATACAGACTTGCAATTACACTGTTTTAAAACATGATTGTGAAACAAAAATCAAGAAATTCAGTATCTGAATTTTTTACTTTTTTTTTTTTCAGTTTATGGTCATTGTACCAGGTGCTGAACATCTTATTAATTTTGAGACCCCCCCCCCCCCAAAAAAAACACCCCGTATATTTTTAACTGTATTTTGTCCATTTATTAATTTAATTACTTATGTAATTATTTTTAGCATCCTATATACGGAGAGATAGAAGTGATAGGAATGCGATTTCATTGGCTGACTCAACGTCCTCTAGTCTGGGGGTCAACACGGGGTTAACTAGGTCACAGTCCCTCCGGAACCGAATACGAAACGGGGAATTAGAAAGTAGGACAGAGGAGAAATCCAATGGTATGTTTAGTGTTTATCTTGATATCAGGGACAGTGTATTACATTGTATAGTAAGCTATAGAACTTTGACATAGTTTTGAGAAACAGCATGTTGTATGTAAATGTGTTTATGATCACACTATTTATATTTCTCCCTACTAAAATATGTGGAATAGACTCTGAAGCAATGTGCTATGTATTGATTTTGAAAATACGTGAAAAAACATATTGGGCCAGCTGAAATAAGATTATGGATCATAAAATTTTTTTTACCTAACTACAGTAAAACTCAATGATAATGAACTCTGATATAAGGAAATCTCAGTTATAGCAATTATAGTATCTTCTCCCCATCTGTCATATCCGAACACTTTCTTATATGGATATAAAGAATTTTGGTTGTTAGGAACTAAGAAATCATGCCCCATGACTTCTTTATAAGTAAATTTTCCGTATGTCACTGAGATATTATGGCTGTTATGTTTATAGACTCGGAGGATAAAGGGGATAAGGACAGTAGGAGAGAGTCATCTGCCCTTGCCAGGAGACGACGGAGAAATGAACGAAGGTCAACAGGAATTGTTTCCTATGACAACAAAGATGTAAGTCGTTATTATGTTAAACTGTCAAGTGATTTAGAATAATTTCTCTATTTAAAGAATGTTCATGTGAATCTTGAAGATTACTATGATTTATATATATATATATATATATATATATATATATATATATATATATATATATATATATATATATATATATGTCATTTGCAAATTAAAAGTGTCATATGCATTCCTAAATATATTCATTCTTATTCATAATTAGGGAGAATGTAATCGTACTGTCTCAATCAGCAGTGATTTTTATATCATTTATGTATCCATTTTTTTTTCAGGAAGAGGAAGAAAAAGACAAAGAAAAGGAAGAGGAGAATAAAGAACCTGCCGAGGATAGGGTGAGTCATTGTCTCATCATATAATGTCTCGGCTACAGCTTTTGGGTAAAGAAGGGTGTGTAGAAAAAAGAACCTATCAAGGATAGGGTGACTCCTTGTCTCATCATAGTATGTCTCGTGTTCAGTTCTCGGGTTAAGAAGTGTCTGTAGAATAAAGAACTTGTCAAGGATAGAGTGAATCATTGTCCCATCAAAATAAATCTTGATTCAGCCCTTGGGATAAGAAGTGTGTGTAGAATCAGATTAGGATAAGGAAGACCATTAGATATGCTTGGGGTTCAGCAAGTAGTTAAGGCAAAAAAAAAAAAATAATAATAATCTTTAGTTTCTCATGCCAAAAATTACAAAACTCAATAAAGCAGGCAGGGTTTTTTTTTTTTTTTTTTTTTTTAACAGTTCTCATTTCTCTTTTTTGTAGTCAGTGGATCAACAGAGTAATGATATCTACTGATTCTCTTACTTTTTGTTATCTTACATTAATTATATGTACTCAACTTCAAATAATGGTATTCCAAACATCTGTAGGAAAATTAATTCATAAAATATCATATTTGCAAGAAATATATTGCGTAGTCTATCAGCATGTATTAAAAGGGGAATAACAACCTTCTTTTTCAATTTGGAAAAAAGAAAATTGAGTTATTTCCATTTTCAATATGTCAACAAAGTTAGTCAATGTGACAGTGTTTGACCAGATGCAGCATGTCTGAGAAACTATAGACAGATTTTTTTTGGCCTAAAGTATTAGGTATAGAAGCCATCAAGGATATTGCAATCATAATCCCAGGGAAAAATGTATGTTGCTGGTCTATCCCTACATTGCTGATTAGGTCTTGATGAAGATGAGTCGTCTTTCTGTCATAGGGATTAATACATCTCAGGATCAACCTCTAACTCTTCATAAAAGAGTATGTCTAGAACTCACCACTGAGTCAGTGAATTTTGTAGAAGAAGGAAAGTGTACAAGGTTCTGGCTTTAGTCATGGCTGCAGCCAATGAATAGAATTTACTGATATCAGTGGCTTATAATAGACACTGTTGAATCTCTGGGTAAAGAATATTGTGCTTGAGAGATTTTTTTTTAAAGGATACAATTTTCTTCAGAAAACTCCAAATGTTTATTATACAGACATACAGTGTATCACAAAATGACTTTTGTTGGCAGACTTACAGCATGATTCATTTAAAAGAGGTGATAAGCGTTGAAACAAGTCAGTCTGTGTTTTCCTGTTGTCAAATAATTCATTATTTGAAGAACTTAAAATTTTCATGAATACTAGGTGAGAAAGCAATTTAATTTTATTTACTTTGTATGCATTTAAAGGGGAACAAATCTGGCATATATATAAGCAGCATAATTTTTTTGTAACAAATTGATTACATGAACAAGGATACAAAACAGTATAACATTTCTATTTCTTTTTTTTTTTTTTTTTTATTTTTTTGGTAGACTGATGGTTTATTAATGGTATTCATGAATTAGCACATTGCTGTCTGCGCTAAAGCCACTAAGATATGAAGCCTGGTTTTTGAAGTACACATTCAGTATGTTAAATACATGATTTAAAATTTCGAGTCAAACCAGTAGTCACTAACTTTCTTTTTTCCCTGAATCAAGGTGATTTTCATGCAATTGATCCAGTTGTTTACACACCTCTGTATGAAATATTAATCTAAGCCTTGAAGTTGTTTTACTTAAATATAAAGATGTTCTTTGAATCTGCTGTTCAAGTTACTCAGAGTCAGAGTTATCCCCCTTTGATTCTCTCTTGACACATGATTAAAATATTGTGAATCTTGTGTGGTTACCGGTATGTTTTAATTTTTCAGGTAATTAGATGGATTTTTTAAAAACTTGTTTAGTGATATTTTAACTGTCTTCATAAAACCAGGGTCTGCATATAACACTCACCCACTAGCTACTAATAGTAATTTTACCAGTGGGCTACCAACTCTTGTGGATGTAATTGCCCACATGGCGAGTAAGAATTTTATCTAAACTTTTCCAGAACCTGACCATGCTTTGATTCTACAATTTTGTGCACTTCCATTTTCACTGTTTCTTGCCTACAGAATGTTTTCTAGACCCTGAATCACCATAACATTATAACTTTGTGAAATGAAGGAAAACAAAATTTCATGCAATATCATTCATTCATGGTGTGAAAATCATCAGGGAAATGAAAAACTTTGGACAGCAAAGTATACTTCTCAGAGATTAAGATACAAATATTCAATTTTTTTTTCACAAAGTGGAGAGAAAATTGTGGGCCCAACATATCAATGTGGGCTAGTAAAACTTGTAAAAGTGTCGGCCCACATGGCCCCTAAGGTTTTAAATGTTATTTGAAACCGTGATGAGAATAAAAACTAACAGGATATAAATTGGGTTATAAATAGCTCA